CCGAGTCAAACTCCTGCCAAGGTTGTTGCGTTACAAGCAAAGTGGTCATGGGCCTTCTCAGACTTCCCGGGCCTCCCAGCCCGAGCCGTCGGCTCCATCTAATTTCAGCACGAACCCTCTGGCTCTGCTTGCTCTCACACCGTTTTTCACACTACTCTCCACTTTCCTTCTTTTAACCTAAATGGTAAGTTTGAAGGGAGGATTCGTGTAGAACAATACGCATTATTTTTCACAGCATTCTCATCTGGAAGACATATTCCAAAGGAAAAATCTGGTTTATGATCGTTTTAACGGCTTTCATTTAAAAAGAGAAGCAACTGGTCCTCAGATGCAAAAAAAAAAAAAAAAAAGTAATCTTTTTTTTTTTTTTTTTTCTGCAAAATATTTCCCAAAGCATGTTCTCTAAAGGAATTTTGATGGAGAAAACCACATTCCCCATTCAGCTCTTTTCTTCCGGTGACTTGACTGACTTCCCCACCACGGGCTGTGGCGAAGTAAAAGCAAGTCACGCAGGGGGATGAGGCATTTGCCTCGCTGCAACTGAAAAAAAAAAAAAAAAAAAAAAAAAAGAAAAGGGGCATCCTCTGCTTTCCTGGCAAGCAGCTCGGATGCCGGATCACCGGCGGCGCTCGGCAGCCGTGGCAGCACTACCAGAGCATGGCTCTCACATTTACGTGGGTGGCTGCAAACGCTCCAGGGACACCCCCACTGCATTTTGCACCATCTCTTAGTCCTACCCCACTGACTTCAGGACTACCAGCGCAGGTATTGTATTTCCCACCCTCTGCGCATCGTTTCAAGGTCATCCCCCCCCCAAGTCTACTTTTCCCAAGGTCAGTTGAGGTTAGGAGACACATCTCAAAGGCTTTGTGGAGGCTGTGGACGAGCAACCCTGCAGCAGCAGGTGCATGGGTTTGTTCCTAGCCAGCCAGCTGTTCTTTTAACTCTTTCCACAACATAACGAGCCTGCCCCCCGCCACGCACTTCATTTCTTTCCAACGTTGCTGGGTTGCAAAGCAGAAGTTTATAGGAAAGTTGGCCAAAGGCAGCCACGCGTACCCCACTGCAGCGTCTCCTCCTGGGGTGGCTTCCTCTCTCCTTTCCCACTCTTTCAGTCTCCCCTGCTGCACCTCCTACCACTTCTTTTTATAGTCCCTAGTTTTTATCGATACAGGGTAGTTGGGAGAGCGTATCAAGGCTTTAGCACACCACATATATTAATGTGGTATTTAAACAATTGTATTTGTCTTCTGTTACCTCCAGGCATGCGCCCAGACAATAGCTCTGGGTTTGTTACTGTAGCTTTGCCAATATTTAATAAAACCATCGCTCCCTTCTTTTTTTTCCACAACTCCCCAAATTACACTCGTGACGCTTATTCCCGTGGAGGGACCACCCAAGCTTTCATTACTCTAGAAACTTGGCTTTGCACCTAATTCGATTGTCCCTACCCGAAAGTCATTCTTCACTTAGACAGAGTCATCTTCTACAGCTGTCTCCCCCTTGGAGGTGACAACAGGCATGGTTAGAGTTAATGAAGATGCAGTTATTAAAAGCCCCAGACAGGCACAGGTGTAGCTACTCACCCCAGCAATGCCCCACTCCACAGCGTTGGCCAAAAGTGAAGCTGAGGTTTATCTTCTCGTGGCTTCACCCTTTTGTAGGAAGGGCCTGGTCCCTCCCCAGTGCTCGAGATGGGAAGAACTGGAGTTCCCGGGGCAGTCAGTGCCGCCTGCTTTTATTTAGGCAGGGCTATTTTGCCAGCAAAGGGATTACTTGAGTTTTCTCCAGCTTGGTTGGGAATAAATACGCTTCACCTGTGACTATAGATTTTGGTCACGAGGGTGAGGAAACCCTTCAGGGCACAGCAAGCTGCTCCTCCTGATACGGCTTTCCTGTCACTGGGTTCTTGCTCAACCCCTAATTGAAATCAGCGCAAGTCTTTGATCAAAGAGGTGAGCGCCATTAATAAGCGAGGGATTAAACAAAAGGCAGGAGGCCTTCCTAACCGAGGGAACCAGAAACCGCTCAGTTCCCCTTTGCCTGATCCGGCGCTCCGTCGTGGGACTCCGAGTCAAAAGACGCCGGCAGCGCCTGCTCGGGCTCCTCGGGGCTGGGGCGCGGGAAGCAGCTCCGGCCTCCGCGCTGGGAGGCGTTTCGGTAACGTTAAAAACACAACTCTCCTGGCAGAGTTTGTTCTTCCCGCTCACATGATGCCCGTGGAACCAGCGTGGCGAAGCCCAGCGGGTGATCTTACAGCAGGGGGGAGGCGGCATTTAGCCGTAAAATGTCTGCAGCAGCTTGTTTCACCTGCTCCTGCTGCCTTGCTCACAAGCACAAAGACGCACGTGCCTCAGACGTCGGCCCGGGGCCACCCACGCACGGCCTGGAGGATGAGGGGCTCCAGCAGCCATGTCCTCCCCGCGTCTCCCGGCCAGCGGTGACAAACTACTCTTTGACCAGACCTTTCATGCCTGTACGAGATGCTGCTGCTACTTTTCTAGCGCGGCGGCAACGACAACAAAATGGATCAGCGGGAGCCTTGCGCTGTGCTGGCCCATCAGCCCACTGCCATGGCGGTGGGGTGAGGGTGAGCACAGGTACAAAACCCCCTGGCGTGGTTTGGGCCTGGTCGGCAGCCAAACACCACGCAGCAGCTCTCTCTCCCTTCCCCTCCGGCAATGAGAAGGGACAGAGAGCCAGGCTTGGGGTTCGAGATAGGACTGGGATGGGGAAAAATCCCCCTTTATGGTCACGAGCAAGAGGCAGACTCGTTAGGGGAAGGAAAAAAGAACATACATTTATTACAGACACTAACAACACATAACAGAGTAGGACAGTGAGAAGCATTGCCACATCTTGAGAACACCTTCCCCCCACCCCTCCCTCCTTCCCGGGCTCAGCTCTGCTCCCGATATCTCTACCTCCTCCCCCAGGGGCGCAGGGGCAGGGAATGGGGGGTGCAGGCAGTGCTGCCACTTCCCTTATCTTTGGTGAGGGGAGTTCCTGGAACTTGTTCCTCCTGCTCCATCGTGGTTCCCCCTCTCACAGCAGACAGTCCTCCACAAACTTTCTCTGACGTGAATCCCTCCCACAGGCCGCAGCGTTCCCCACACTGCTCCGTCATGGGTCACTAACTTCCTCCGACTGGATTCCCTCCCACGGCTGCAGCCCTTCCCGAGCTGCTCCGGCGTGGGACTCCCCCGCATGCTGCAATCCTCCCAGCACTGAATTACAGCAGCGGGGCTGCCTTTTCCCATGAGACCCCGGCCTTCTTCGGGCACAGAACCTTGATTATACCAAGCAGAAGCCACAGGCCATAATTCAGTGTCTGCTCCACCGTAGATCTTCATGGGTGGCAGAGGGGGGGCCGCCCTGCCGTCTCCCCACAGGATACAGGGGGGTCTCTGCTCCGGCACACCTCCCCCCTCCTTTCTTCCTCCGTTCCTCCACTGACCTTGGTGTTCACGCAGCTGCAGCGACTCCTCCTCACCAGTCCCACTGCTCCTCACCACGTCCCTTCTTAAATACGTTCTGGCAGAGGCGCAGCTGATGGGCTCAGTTTTGGTGCAGAGGTGGAGCTGACTTGGAGCTGGGGGAGCTCCGAGAAGCTTCTCACAGGGGCAACCCCGATAGCCCCCTCCCCTGCCACCAAAAAACCCCACCACTCGCTCAAACCCAGGACACCCCATGGTGCAGGAACCTCTGCCACACGAGAGCGATGGTAGAGGGAGCTTATTTAATGTTCATGCCTTATTTTCTGTTGCATCTCTGAATGTCCATGAGCAATGAACCACGGCAGCCCTACAGCACGGTTCCGGAGCTGCAGTTAGCACCAGGTTCATGACTTTGGTGAGATTGCAGCCCTTAATTTGCCACATCCATCAGCACCCTCCACTCACAAGCTTTCCTTCTACCCTGCTTTGAGATTAACGTTGAGGCACATAAAGTAACTGAAGGATGGTAGACTCGCAAAAGAACAAGCTGCAACTTCCTTCATCGCCTCATGCTCATCTTCTGCCCTGGAGCGGGGCTGCCTAAACCTCCTGCTTTTCCAGCTGCCGAGACACAACTCTGCATATGCTTTAAAAGGGGAAAAAGGTGACTTGCACAAAGTTACCTCTGAAAGCAGCACAAAAAAAAAAAAAAAATAAGTTCAAAGCAGCACGGTGGCCTCGGTGTGATCCAGGGCCTCGGCAGCCGAGCTGCCCACCGCACACTCGGGGGGCACGGCAGACACAAGCAGAGAGAAACTAACTCCAGCAGGCTTGCAGAAACGCCCTGGAAAGGCACGACGTACTGATTCTTGGAGCTACCTGCAGAGAAGGGGTGCAGCCCCGGGCCCTCTTGGCAGTGGGTAGGCTCCCCTCACGCAGCAGGACGGGCACGGATAGCTATTCCACCCGCAGGCAGAGGCGCAGAAACACGGGAGCACCTAACACGCCAAGAGCCGAGGCCCCAGCTTAAAAACCAACTGGGCTGCATCACGGTTGTTTCGGCAGCTACAGGCCCAAAGCTACCAGCAAAAAGGCAATCCGGCGAGTAAGCTCGCCATTTACAACAGGTGCTGTGGAGATTTAACAAGAAAATTTCCCCTTCCTAGCCCATCGTAGAAGCAGTGATTTGGGCAGGTGGGCCCCTCTTGCCGCTCTGGGGGCGCTTGGTTCAGCGGCAGGGACGTGCAGCTGGTTTTTTTTGTTTAAACACAAATGGCCAAGAATGCCTGACGCTTTCCTGTCGTCGCGGAGCTGCCCAGAACAGGCCGAGATCTTCAGAGGATGGACAAAGAAACGGTTCTTGATCCCAGAAGTCTGGGGTTTATATTGAACAAAATGAGCAACACGGCGACAGGCACTAGGGAGGAATGGTGACCAGAGTCAATTTAAGCACGACCGCAGCTGTGGCCCTAAAAATGGAATGTACAAAGGAAGCTGCAGACACACAGGAATAGGCATTCATGTTTTAGGTATTAATGTTTCAGTTGTTGAGAACACCATGGGACAAATGAAGTTCCAGTTAAAGCAGCAGTAAGGCCACAGATGGATATTTTACGAGGAACTTCAGAAGTATGGAAAAGAGACAGTAGAAGTAGTTTAATCAATAAATCAATATAGCATAAGTTGCAAATGAGGCAGGAGAACGAGAAAATATATTAAAACATTATTTAATCATAAAAGAAAGTTACATTCAGGTGAGAATCTTTTTAGCACAACAGAAAAAGCACCATCAGATATTTTAAAGTAATAGAGTTCCGTTTTAAAATATTCCGTGCATTTCAGTAGATTTTCATCCTTTCCTGGTAAGATATTATAACTGTTCTACGGTTTCAAAGCAAAAGATGCTGAACACCAGAATAAGACCCTCCAACTTGTCTTGCTTACGTCAGTCCTCTAATCCATCCTCAAGAGTGTATATTTAGCCTGCAAATGGATACGGTGGGACTCCTTTCACCCCTAGTCCTGTTATCTATTAAATCAGGAGAAAAAAAAAAAAAAAGGTTAGTGCAATAATTCACCCCTATCAGACACTTGCTTTTCTTTCACAACTAGACATGCTTTAATTTAGAAAAGGACTGTGTCCTCCAACTTGGTATCCTGCTATATTTTGCACATAGCAGCTCATCACAGCCAGGAACTTCAACCTATGCTCCTTCTTTAAAAGCTGAGTAATCATAGGCCAGAGTCCATTCCCCTAAAGCCTCTTCTCAGATACTACTAAACCTGAATTCTGCAGTTCACAACGTAACCCTCGGTACGTACACATATGGAAGAGCAGGACTTTAAAACAAATCCCAAGGTGACAAATTTTTGAAGAGATAATTTAGTTATAACTAACTAGAAAGTAAATAAAAGCAGACCCTTTTATCTGCCATTGATTGAGACACAGAAGTATTTACACATTCTTTCCGTAAAAAATAGAAAACTCAAACTGTGCTGGGAGGGGGAAAAGTAGAAAGAGGTGACGGCATAGAAAATTTCCAGTATCAGCATCGTCACAAATTCTAAACCCAAAAGTATTTTCAAATCTCTAAATACATTTATCTTTCTTGTCCTGCAACAGGAACCAAAGATATGAACAGTAGCTTAACACACGACTGATGTTCTAACAACCACCTTTCCACCACTCCAACTGGTTTGCTACCTGAAAAATGCAGGAGGGAAAAAATGCCCTACTAAGACAAGAGGAAAAAGTATCATTCACCTTGAAAATCCCACCAGCCTGTGGTTGCCGTGAAAGCCACTCTTTATCCATCCCGACACTGGCAGAAGTCACATACATTTCTGAGTAATCCTTTCCTCCAAAACAGCAGGAAGTTGTCTTGTCAACAGGAAGCTTCACAGTCTGGAGTCTTTTTCCTGAAGAAAAACACGCATGCCATTTCCTGTTTGTCTACTTCAGACAAGAAATTTAAACAAATTATTGCAAACTACCAGCGTGAAGCCAGGTGTTCCACAAGAGGGGGTACCACCAGGGCAGGGGGAGGTCCCCCCCGGAGTTTCAGCAGATTGATGAGCACCCTGACGGGGAGAAACCAGACCTCTGTAAACCGCGTTGTCGATGCTCTATCATTTGACCAGTTTCAGTCTCGGTGATCACAAAGAAATCCCACCCCCAAACCCAGCCTGTCCTCTAATTAAATGCAAACATCCACAGCACAGACACCTGTATCTCAGCTCAGAATCTAGGCTGCCCATGCAGACAATGGAAATGGGATATAATTCCTCCCTGAAATAGGTCACATGAATCACGCCCTAGACCTGCTGACTTTTCTACTTTGAACTACAAAGGAAGCCCGGAGCGAGCAGACCTCGTGCAGCTCTGCTGAGGCGTACCTCGTGCTACACCTCTACTGCCTGCAGTTAAAGCAGATTAATTCCTAGAAGTTCTTCCTGAATTTCAATAGCCTTTCAAATCAAGCTTGCATAAAATAGGGATCATGGGACGTTACAAGAAACTAGTGCCACCATAAATAAAATTACGCATTTATTAGACCAACAAACAGCTACCATCCTAACGACAGGAGTAAACAGATTGTCTCCAGCCTTGACCAGAAGGCTGTCGAGATACCTTACAGTACATTTTTCAAAAATGCCTCTTAATTCTGGGCAATAAGTGTTTATAATCACCACGCCTATTTTATTTACCTACAATTGAATTTTTCTTTCTAGAAACATGCTAAAGCACATGGGTCTCCGTACAAAACATGTAATTTCCCTGGCAGCCCAATTGCATGTGTAAAGGGCTCGGCCCCCCTTACAGTAACTGTTTAGTGATGGGTTGAAATAGCAGGAGAGTAACTTTCATGTTGGGAACCCTGCAAGGAGAAAGAAGAAGTGGATGGGAAGTTTGGCCCACTTAGCTCCTATGAGACGTTTCTGGTCAACTTCAGAGTGGGGCACCATTTCCCAGGAGGTGTTTAGCAAAGTAAGCACCAGTCTTTAAAATCTTTTGCCTCACCCAACAAGCTGTGTGAAGCAATGTTGTGAGGAACCCCAATGAGCTGACAAAAGCACAGACCCAACAGCTTCACCTGTACCACAACACTAAGCAGGTCCTAAGTGCAGGTAAAAGCCACATCCTTAAGCTGTTAGTGCAGTCCTGGCACAATTTTGGCCCACCTAGACGGGTACGCTGCTCCCCAGAGGCAGTTTGGGCTCGGTTTTGGTGTGGGAAGACCACCTGGCTGTGCAAAATAAGCTATAATATACTATAGGGTGCAGGACTAAAGGACAGAGCCTGATGCATTTTACTTGCTAGCACGGATGTAACCAGTACGTCCAGAGCACAGGACTGAAAGGAAAGAGCAGAATTGTCTTTGCTTCAATGGTCACCTGACACAAGGGCTGGGTACTTTAAAACTCTCTTTTAATCCCCAAATAAATAAAAGAAAATAGCAAGCGAGCAGTGGTGAAAGAGCCTCTTGTATGTAATAGCCTGGAAATTTTGAGCACTCTGGGATTCCTGGTGCTGTATAATCTTATTTGGCACACATTTTGACCTACAATGGCCAAAGTAAAAATCAAGCTCAAATTAAAAAAAAAAAATAAAAATCAAAATCAGTGTAAGAGCGTTTAGATTGTCAGAGATTATTTGCATGTCTGGTTAACTGTTTTGTTTTTTTTTTTTTTTTCCCTGAGAAGAGCAGATTTTTCAAAATACCTAGGAAATTGGGAGAGAAGTCCTGTCTGTCGCCTGGGAGTAACACGGACCAGTACGAGTCCCAAGACAACGCTCCTGCCAACTTGCTCTGGCAACACTTGGTGGTTATCCAGTCAGCTGGCAGCAGAAGGACTACATGGCTACATGGTTACATGTATAAAATGCTCCAGAAGCCACCCTGGAAATTGGCTGACACCAACTCTGGGAGAAAATGAGTGGAAAGGGCATTCAAAGGGCAAAACACACACTGTAGGAGAAAAGGTGTGAGCCCCAAAGACAAGGGGAGAGACCCTGAGTGTATTTGCAGAGTGGTCTCAGCACGTAACAGCCTGGAAGATATTGTTTGCAGAGCTCAGAGATAAGCAGTGTCTTCCTGGAGGTGCAAGAAAATCTTCACCTGGATGCTCTAAAATCTACCTGAAGTATTCATCTATGCTTGGTGAAGGAGAGAGAAACTTAGCAAATATTTTAGACCCTACGTAATCAAAGGATCTAAAAGTACCTTCATTAGGAAGAACTGTAAAATATTTAATTCCAAATTAAAAGACACAATTGCAGAGAACTGGCAGGTCCCTAAGTGACCAGAAGGTATGACAAGTCTTGGCAAGGTACAAGTCAGACATCCCTTCTGAGCCCTTTGCACCAGGGGCAGTCATCACAGCCTTTCCCTGTACCACGTCCTGAAGGCAGCAGCTATCTAGGCTGAAGATGCCTAGACCTGAAAAGCTCACTTCACCCTGAAGGGCAAAACCTGCACTTAGAAGAGATGCCAAGCAAAAAAGTTTCCTTGCCCATCCCCCTAAAAACGCGGCTCCAAGCTTTGCTATTGGTGAAACCTGAAAATCCCTGGTGTGCTTTAGATGAGCTCTTTATCAGTGGATGTATCTGCAACGGGCTGACAGGCATTCAAGCCACACTTAACAGCTATTGTGCATTAAAAGAGAGGCTTTCACGGAGTTCTCTTCAAACCTGTCTGGGTTATCTCCCTCAACAGTCACAAATCGCTCAGGAGCCAGCGAATTGCAGATTTTAGATGTGCAGATAAGCGTGAGATATTCACCAACAAGGTGGCTCTTTTTGACATGAATATTTAACCTGTGAAACTTCTGGGGTGCTTGTTGGCTGCGGGGTGCTGGGAGTTTTACAAGGGCACGGCCAGACAGATAGGTTCACGGAAGAGAAATCCACTGGCACCTACAGATACATCAAAATCGCATCCAGCTCGGAAAGACCCTGATCTGAGCAAAGTTAGGGATTCAGAGTGCATTAGGGATATGTATTCTGCTGCCAATATTCTTAGTCTCCCTATGCATCTGTTTATGGATGCTATTCCCTTAAGAAGACACCTCCAAACAGGAGGAGGAAAGGGAAAACAAGTTAAAAAAAAAAAAAAAGAGAAGGTGAAAACCAGGGAGGAAAAGGGTAGAAAGAGTGAACCAGAGAGGAAGAAAGGTGGAGTCCACTGCTCCAGGAGGGTACTCAGAGGGCTGGCAAAGGTCACCAAGGAGTGCTCTGCCCACCAAAGCATGAAGATGTGTGACCAGAAACGGGTCCCAGAGCTGGTGGGATCTCCCAGCTAGAGACTCCTCCTCCTAGGGCCGGGGTGCAGACTGTGGGGCAGGAGGGAGTCCCGCAGGTTGGCAAGGCCTTGGGTGGGTACAGGTGAAAAGGTGAGGGGAAAGGCACTGCCCGAGCCCCAGGCAAGAGGCTCGGGAGGAGCGAGAAGAGAGGCTGGAGCCTGGCCTGCCTGCCGCGCACCGCGGGGGCCGCACGCGTCGAGGGGCGCTGGCACCCCCAAAGCTGCAGCCCCACAGAGCCCCCGCCACTTCTGTTAGGGCTGGCCTGAGAGAGACCCCCTAACAGAGACCTAACGGAGAGCCCAGCTGCAACCAGAGGTGCAGTCGCTTCGATGCGGCATTATGCAAACCTGTGCTGCCTGGCATCTGGCAAAATCACGCTCCCACTCTCACCCACTGGCCCCGTGCAGACAGGGCGGGTTCAGTCTCCCTGAAGGGCTTCACACGTGTTTTTTAGCCAGACTAAACCATGCCTGGCAGACCATCGAGGTCCAAATCAGAGTAGCAATGAATGACGTTGCCTCAGACAATGGGCACACCCCAAACGTTACCGTGGGAATGATAAAATGCTGTGGAATCCATTAAATCTTTTTTACTATTTCAATTGCAAAATTTATCATGTAAATAATATTCAACAATTAAAAAAACGCCGCTGGCATCGGTGTCATGTGGGACTTGTATTAACCTCAGTAGGCTGCCCAAAATAATACACTATGCTGGAGAAACAAGACAAAAAAATTGCTTAAGTCATCATTGTTATTTCATGGCTTATTCATTTTCTTCCACATCATTTATCAGGGAGGTAATAAGTTTGGAGGATGCAAGAGGATGTTAGCTCAAACAATTCACAAGTATAATGGTAATCTCCTCAGCAACTTTACCTTTTCCAACACGACAAGAGGCTGGGAACAACGGAGACTTATTTACAAAGCTAACTTTTGAGATCAGGGACATACAATTGGGTTGTTTGTTTTTTTTTTTAAAAAAGGTAGTGTTTTAAAAAGAGCAAATATACAGTTTCTGTGAGGGGAAAAAAACACCTCTCACTCTTTGCTTTTTTTTTTTTTTTTTTTTTAAAAAAAAAAAAAATCAGAATTCCAGTCCGCCCTTAGCAGGGACTTACCAGTCTCAGGGTCAAGACGAATCACTCTCCCACCATCGTAACAAGCTACCCAGAGTTTGCCTTCTATATCAATGCACATCCCATCAGGAATGCTCTCCTCTTTTTCCAGTTTGTATATACTCCTACGGTTGCCTGCAGGGTAGAAAAACCACAACAAAACTGAGTGAGACAGTTGTTATACATTTTATCAGTCACAGCTCAGCAGAGTCACTTGTACTATTATTTTCAAAAGCTGTGCTGAAGTCCCGAGTTTTTTCATATGAAAGAAATGGATCGTGTCTGCTGCCTTGTTTGTTTCCTGAGTCAGTTGTTTCTCAGCGTGGAACCCTGTGGATCAGTTTCTATCCACTGAAAGTATATCCTTTTTTTCTGGTGTTCATTTCTAGTGCATCACTCATGCACCCTACTTACAATATTAAATGAATAACTGAATAAATTAATGTTTTATATATTCAGAAAATTGATGACGTGTTCTAAAAGCAGTTTGGATCATTTCAAGTATGGGTCACTTCCAGTCAACAAACTGGAGACTTTTCAAACAGATTGCTGGAACGTGCCAATAATCACTCTTCCAACACAAAACTGACCTTCAGATATATAAACTGAGAGTTTATATAAACACAGAGTTACGAAAAGCATCAACTTCAAAGGCATACTGTCAACCTAAAACCAAAAAACTCTTTCTGAACTTTTATCCACTGTTATTAAAGAAAATTAAAACCAACTTTCCAACACTGTTTATTTAATGCTCTGACAACTTCAATGTTTCTCATATGTAGCAATATTTTTAATGAGTTTCCTTTGTGCTCCTGGGGATTGTCAGACTGCCCACAGAAAGAGAGGGAGCGAGCACGGGTGAGGGTGAGAGGAGAACCACACTATTTCCCAGTGAAAAATTCAATTGTAAGCCGTAGCAGAGAGGCACCAGGACAAGATGCTACACCGAGAATGTCTTTAAACTCACAGTTTTAAAACTTAATATCAAACTGACTGGGTTCTTTTAAAGCAAAATACTACAGTCCATGTACTCAAAAGTAAACTATTAGTCCAAGTCACTGGAATTTCTCATTTGCCCAAGCTTGTAGAAGCCCTTAAGGGATTGTTTTGTTTTAAGTAAATGAAGGAAGAAGTTTTGAGTTACTGCTTTCCAGTTGTTGCTTAGCTCTGTCTACAGAATCTTCATCTAAGAGCTTATATTTTAAAAAACAAATCAGGGTGAAAAAAGAATCTAGAGAAGCTACCAGAGTTTTTGCACAAGACTACAAGCTTTTCTGTTACTTCGCCTGTGCTGTCAGGAATAAGAAAAACACAGCCACAGAACTGTAGCCACACAAGAAACACTTTGCCCTTTTTACACAGGAAGATGAAATACGCATTGTGTTCAGGAACAGTAGTCCAGATTACTACTCAAAACTCCACAATTTAAATACTTTAGAATATTACCAACAACCTCTGACTAGTTTGAGCTAGGAGCCTACACAGGCACAGATGAATGTTAAGATGGCTTCTGCTGTTTTGTTCTAAAGAGGTTTCTGAAGAAGCACTTCCAAAGCCCTGATCACCTCTGCGTAATAACCACAATGGAAAGGAACATCACAATCTTTAGGCACAAACGATTATTTTAAAACACAACAACTCATACCAATTTTTCCAGTTTGGAGGTCATAATCAAAGGCATCCACTGAATAGGACAAGCTGTCAATGTAAAAGAAGGTTTTGTGATCCAGCGACCAGTCCAGCCCGTTAGAAATGTCCACCTGATCAAAGTGCTTCACCAGCGAGAGGTCGGAGAAGAGCGCATACAGAGAGCCCTGGCGTCTTTCCAGCACGGCAGGTCGAATCTCCTCAGCCATCGTACCTGTGCAGAGACAGAGAGGGAAAAGCAGGTTCAGAGTGAACATGTTTGGCGGCAGCCCCTCGCAGTGATGCTGCCCACGATGCCCATGTAGACGGGAGCAGCGTGGGGGCTTCAGAAATCCGGGGAAGAAACGGAGTGAAAAGCAAAAGAAAAAGGCAGATTTCCAAAGTGCTTGCTTTTTTAGCGGAAGCCGACAGAACACAACCTTTGGTTTTTTTGCTGAACTGTGGCAGAAACGGTGCGCAGCATGATTTCTGCAAAATGCTTTATTCAGTCCTTCAACTACGAAGAAAGGTGTGGTCAGCATTTAACTTCCCACAAATCTTAACATCACGTATAGCAGTGAGACTGGGAAAAAAAAATGCCCTCCTCCCTCAGACTGAGTCTTGCCAAAGCCTCTTCAGAAACAAATCTCATCTTCATGGTTCAAAGTTGGCAGCCGAGACCGGCTCTTGAGAGGCTGGATAAAAAAAGCAAGTTAAGGTATAAGCCTGGGGACCCAACTTCAGGGCAGATGCACAGAATGGAGGACAGGATCACGGGACATCTGAGGCTGGAGGACACTTCTGGAGATCAGCCCGGCCCACCCCCTGCTCAGAGCAGCATCAGCCACCACAGGCTGCTCGGGGCAGCAGCGTGTCTTGGAAGACCTCCACCGACAGAGACGCCACAGCCTCTCCACAACCCGTTCCACTGCTCGATCATCCAAGGCACAAGAATTTTCTTACATTTAAACAGAACTTCCTGAATTTCACTTTGTGCCCGCTGCCCCTGGTCCCGTCACTGGGGACCACTGGGCAGAGCCTGGCTCCATCTTCTTTACTCCCCTCCCATCAAATACTTAACACACATGGATAAGATCATCCTGAGCCTTCTCTTCTCCAGGCTGAACAGTCACACAGTTTTTAGAAATACCACCTATAAATTCTGATTTATAAAGAACCAACCCCACAATATCATAAATTTCTCACTGGAAAAGTATTTTCTATTGGCACTCTGCCACTGTTCCAAACAAGCATGCCAACAGGGAGTAACTGGGCAGGCTCTGATTAGTGGGCCTCTTTTTAAAAAAATAGTCCTGATAAGATGGTGTCCAGGTGATACAAACAGATTTGTAAACGGGATTAAACTGCCTGAAGACAACAATAACAAAAAAACCCCCAAACCATGGCAACCATTTAACTGTGAACAAACACCTGCTGCATCTACAACTGATCACTGCACCTCATCACCAAAAACCTAAGGGAGCAGCAGAAGGGAGGAACCCCCTGCAGCATACCTGCAAAATACCTCCCCGCAGGATCCACTTTCCCATCATTGAATCGGTTGTTTGGTTTATCCTTGTCCACGTGAGTAATGGTGGTTACCAGCTGCTCTTTCCATTTCAAAGCAGCAAACCTGGTTCCCAGGGTGATGACGTAATCCCCAGATTTCCGGAGCGCCACGGAGCTCACGGGAGCGTCTAGGAACGGGGTGAGATGGAAAAGAGGTATGTGCTGTGGCGAGACATTTCTGCCTGCTTTAGACACACAAGCAATCACACTGAACTCAGTGAGACCACAGGCAAGAGAAACAACCTACTTTTCTACCAACGAAACTAATGTTTCAATACATAGATCCTTTCATGTGAAGAGCGCATACTTAATGCATACAGAATGTTGCTCTGAAGAGAATCACCAGTTTGAGACATAAACTCGGGGAACTTGAGCATTACCACCGCTTGCAGGAGCGATAATCACTGCCAGCACCTCGTCTGCTAGGCGCTTTAGAAAAAACACATAGAAAGGGGGAGAGGTACGGGCACGTATGCTTTTTACCACAGGTTACTGTGTAGGTTCCCTCCTCCCCAAGGGAAAAAATCGATAGCCACAAGAGCTCTGGAGCAACTGTTCGTTTAGCACAGCTCCTGGGTAAATCAGCACTCCGTGGCCGCTCCGTCGTAACTCATGGGGACAGAGTATCTGTGCTGGGACAGGTCACGCTGGGCAGGAGAGCCACCCCTCTGCTCCAGGCTCTGCCATGCAGTCCAGACACGCATCCAGCAGCACCGAAAACACGGCAAGGAGGGGCAGAGCTTTCCGAGGGTTAAAACGAAACAGATCATCAGTAAATGCTCCGTGGTTAGTTTACACTCATTTCAGCTATTATGCAGTAAAACCTCAATTTCAGGTTATTATAAAGAAATTAGTAAAAAAACTGGAGAAATTAGCGTGAAGATAGCATTTCTGTAAAAGCCTGCAATTGGATGTGATATAAGGAATAGTAGCTTTAACAGGGTAATAAAGTCTGGGATAATATTTCGTATGCATGGGACTGTCAACTTTCTAATTTAAAAATAAACCGTTTCTTGTATTTATTAGCTTTGCAGAGGTATAATCAGGTAATAGTTTCACAAACACTACTAACCACCACCAGCCCCCCACTGTTGCTGAGAGGAGCTGCTCCTTTCTGGGTGCTTGCTCTGGGCTCAGGACAGCCCTTCCCTTTGCAGCCCCAGCAGCGGCACCACCACGCCAGAGACCCGAACGCTGTTTGCCCCCACGGCCGGGGGTTCACACCCGGATCGATCGCGGGCTCAACTCTAGCAACCTCTTCACTCAGAGGCGACCTGGAGCGTGACCGCGCTGCTGAGGCTGCTGGTGGTCTGGGCTCATCTATGCTGGGCGAGCGGGTGCCCCTTCTCCCTCCCGTGCCAGCACAGAGAGGTGGGCAGAGTCCCCTCAGCCACGCGTGGCACCCACAGAAAGGAAAACATTTTGCTGCTCTTCCGACTGCCAGTACCCACGCTGATAAGCACGTAGTGGTGTTTTCCCTGGGGAGCTGAAAAGGGCACCTGAAGCTGTTGCTAAGTGTGGGGTTGCTGCAATTCTCTACAAGCTTCAGTAACGAGTAATTTCTTGCTCAGTTCCCACTTTGGACATCAACCCGCTATTTCAATCACGTGGCACTCTGGTTGGTTGGGGTTTTTTTGGTCTTTTAGTCGTGGTATTCCCAAAGGCACAGCTATGAATTATTGCTGCTATTACTGAACAGAGGAAGCAGAAGGAAGTAAAGAAAAAAAGGTAACTACTTCAGCTACTAGTCCTTCTACATCTCCTGAGAAGCCACATGTAAAAAATTACACCTTTGAGAGCAGGTCCAAGTCGGGGGAGAGGCAGGGAGAAGCACGCTCCTTCAGCTAAGGTAAGAGGAAATAAGTATGGGAAGCAATAGTTCCAAAATTAGCGTCAGGCCTTCCCTCATCTCAAAACTGGCAACTACAGTAATGTGAAAGGCAGATGAGCCCTGATCAATTTATTGTCAATACTGTGAACGCCTTACGGGTGGGCAAAAGCAAGTGATTTTCATCCAGTGTTGCTGAACATGAGAAAGTAATACATCCAAGTACTTAAACCACTTAAGGAGCTGTCTTCAGACAACCAAATATTTACATTATCACATCCAGAAGTAAATCCGCAACTCTTTATGAGTTAGGACACCTCTTCCTTTCTGGAATAAATACTTAAAACTGTTGAGATTCTAGCTGGTGACACTGTTACCTTAACCTCAAGTGCCCTCTTCGGCCGAGCAAGGCGAGCTTTTAGGGAGAGGTCTCCCGGCGCCAGAGGAGAGCCAAACAGCATCCCCCCCCGCAGGATCCTGCCCACGCGGGACAGTGGGTTCCCGAGCCGCCCCTTACCCACGGAGACGGCCTGGACTCGCCCGGTGGCCGGGCTCCAGCGGCACACCTTCCTGCCCGGGATGTCCACGCAGAGGAGCGCGCCCTCCTTCTCGTCCCACACGGGCGACTCGCCGATCCCGTAGCCCTCCGCGGCCACGCACTCCACCTTCACGGATGACATGCCTGTGGGGAAAAAGCACCCCGCTCGACCCACGCCCGGGGGTTTCACCTGCGCGGAGCAACGCTGCTTGCGCCCGATCCGCGCTGGTTAATGATTCTCACACACGGGCGGCAACAACGCGGCCGTGGGTTGCGCCCACGGCCGAAGCCGGCGGGGAGCCCGCCACGGCGGCGGCGGCGTGAGGGCGCCTGGCGCCGGCCTGTGCGCGGCACGGCCTGCAAATCCGGCGTGGTGGGGCGAAAAATGAAAATAAAAAAAAAAAAAAAAAAAAAAAAATAGAGGAGGGGGCGGGAAGGAGGAATAAAAGAAAGGAAAATAATAAAAGCGTTGTGCGGGCGGGCGGGCCCGGGAGGGAGAGGCCCGCTCGCCGCCAAACCCCCCCCCCCCCCCAGGCTGCTCAGGCGCACCTCCCGCGGCGGCCGCGCTGCTGCCGTGCAATTTAAACGCACAGCTATAGATGTATGTATTTATATGAGGGAAAAAAGTAATAATAACAGAACAGCCCCCCACACGCGCGCACCCACCCCGCTGGCCCTACCTGTTCCCCCCCCCCCCGGTGCAGCCAGAGGCCGCGCTCGCCCCGCCGCCCTTATAGCGGGGAGGGGAGGCGGGGGGGGGCCACGCTCCGCCGGGCTGAGGGGCCGGCGGCCGGGCCTTGGCTGCCCGCGGCCTGGGCGGGCCCCTCGGCCTGCCCGGGCCTCCCTCCCGCCCGAGGTGGGGTGGGTTTGTGGGGGGGGGGGGGCGGCCATTTTACCCCCACCCGCTTTGGGGTTATCTCCACATAGCGCGGCGAGGTGGCGGGCGACGGGGGTGGTTCGGCTCGGCTCCCCCTTCCCCGAGCTGCAGGGAGGAAGAAGAGGGAGAACAGATTTCTCTCCCCGCCAGGCCAAGTGTCTCCACTCCCCGGCGGGGCCTGGTTCCTACCTGCCTTCTCCCAGCTGTGGTTCAGGCGTCCGCTGGTCCATGTTCAGCACCAGGGATCTTTCTCCACAGCTCCTGCAGCATTTCCCCGGTTATCCAGAAATCCAGAGCCGCCTTTTGCTTCCCCTTGCTGCAGAGCCTCAAAAACTTACAGAGGCGCCAGGCAGACGGCTAGCATCAAAATTTCCAGGTGCAGTTCCGCGCACAGGGCGCTTTGTGAACGCCACTTCTCTTCAGCATCCCAGGACAGAGTGCTTTCTCGACTTGGATTTGGTCATCCCCCTAGGGATCCGTGATGCGAAAGCAGGTTCAGTCCCACTGTGCCGTGTCTTCTCCCTGCAACTCTGGCAGCACCAGGCAGGCTGGCCGCCGCGTCCCCACGAGCCGGGATGAAGGCGGTTTTGCCAAAAGCCGCCTTTTCCCCCAGCCGGACTCTTCTTTCCAGCTGGCACGTGTGGCAGCCCCATCACTCACGGGGCACAGCCCAGCGTGGCACACCAGTGACTCCGTGTCACCCACCAGGGTCTGGTATCAGGCAGCCCCCTCACAGCTCAACAGATTTTATCTGTTCCTCATCACACACCTTCCTCTTGGCAATTATCTCCTGTGAAACATTTTTACAGGGTAACCTTTATTTATCCAGCAAGTGCTCGCACCCCAGGCTTCATTTAGTCATGTCCTTATTTTTTTTAATGTTATATTTGGAAAGTTCAAGGGCTACATGAGCTTACCAACATGTGTTTCATGCAGGCTTCCCTCAATGGACTACTACAGTGACATTAACTTATTGTCACCTTATCTGAGCAGTTAGGCTTTTCTTTTACAGGCCTGCATAGCATTACTTCAGTGCCTAGCACTGAATTTTTTCTTTCTGTCCCCACTGTGGTGTTGTACAACAAACAGCAGGATTTCATCTCAGACCTCAGGCAAGCAAATTATTAGTGACTGCCAACGCAGAAAACAAACATCCAGAAAAGAAGTGCCACGGCTCACTCCTTCATACATTTTACAACAAGGAAAGAGAATAGAGGTTTTAAAAAAATTAATGTATGCAAAGAATTAATCAAGCAACTACAGTGAAGTACAATTACCACTTTTTACAAAGCTCAGCCACGTTTGCTGCTCTCCCACGGTCCTCGCACACTACGAGGCCGTTTGGGATACGTGGCCAACACAAGAGCAGGAGATACTCACACCCTCAACCCACCTGGCCCATCTCTCTGCTCCTTGCTGACTTCGGCATTTGCCAGCATGGTTTGGAGGCATCAAAACAAGCTGTGTGTCGACACACGCTTTGGGAGAAAATTAACAGCTTCCGTGAGCGCTGGGTTACAACACAAACTCTGGTCTTCTTCCAAAGTGCCAAATATTTTGAACTTGGATCTCTAGTTACACAGGAGAGTACTCCTGCTTTGTCTTTTCTGCAATGGCTAATCCAGGCTTGCTGAAAGGAATTCATGGGGGTTGTCTTCACAGAGAGCATCAGCTGAGGTCTTCTGCCAGTACAAGTTCACTGTGGGAGAGAACGGAAGAGATGGCTGACGAAGGTGGTGCTGCCACACGGCTTCCCCGCTGGGAACTTCCCACTGTTGCATCGCAGCCACCGTGTTCACCCCTCTGGCCTCCAAATCTGAGCAATGGGGAGCACGCCCAGCACCTCCGTGGCTTCCAAAGGAGAAGGCTGGTGGCCCAGCGTTTATTTCACGTGGTAAAGCACATTGCACGCTTACTCCTCCGGCTTTACAGGAGAAGGGGAACCTTACTACCACAACCATGAAGAGCATAAGGAGTAGATCTGCAGCGCAGGAGGTCCTGTAAGGTGAAGTCACAGCCCTCACGGTTCCCCGAGCCCGCCACAAGCCATTACCCTTCTCTCCAGTCAGGAAGCGTTCAGCACTTCTGGAGAGTGGCCCAGTGTGCCACAGAGCTGAAAAAATCACCCCACTCGTAAGGACTGCAGGCAAGAAGGGGTGCTGGACGATTTCAGGGGTTATAAAAAGAAACGGGTTTTTGCTTATGCTGGTTCCTGGAAGGTCACAGTTGTTGTTCTCTGCTTTTACGAGCCTGGTCCTGTCATTTCTTCATCTCCAGGGCCACCTTCGTCTTTTTTCTTTCTCCTTTAGTCTTGTTTTACTTCTATGTTAGTCCTCCTCCCTGCTTGGAGGTGGGAGGGCTGTAAGCTTTATCCACTCCTGGTACAGAGTGCCAATGCCCAATATATCAGATGTCCGTGTCTTAGGGCTGTCTGTCTCCCAGCACGGCAGGAAGGGAGTCTGTCGGGCCCCCAAGGTGCGGCTGAGAGCGGGGACTGCAGCACGGGCACAGGAGCCCAACGAGCCACGACCTCAGCGTAGGCCTGCCCTGCTGTTACTTGTTAGTTGGGCAACCATAGTAAGCAGGTGGGAGTTCACCGCCAGCAGGTAATGCTGCGTTTTAGGGAGGGGCAGGGAACCAAAAGGAAGAAGAAAAAAAAAAACCAAAACCAAAACCAAAACCAAACAACCCCATCAAAAAAAAACAACATCAAAAAAAGCAACAGCAATCAAGAGCGGAGGTAGAAGTACAAGATTAGCCCCTGCAATCAGGAAGGCAAGAGTTGGCACTGCCACGCACTTGTTTTCAGCCATACATAGTTCTTGGAATTGCCTTGTGTGCCCGAATCAAGCTTCTGTCTGTTCGTAAGCAACAAGTAGGCCCAGGAGAGCTCAAACTGCTGAGAAGCATCTGAGCTGTTTACTAGTCTGGATGATCACAGTTGTGGATTTAAATACTCATACATTTGTCAAAGTACATCATTTTCCTGCTTTGTAAACATCTCATTGGGAGAGGGTGGCGTGAGGGTGTTAAACAGCAGCCTTGTGCCCACTGATTCATTTATGTCACATAAAGTCTAACACCCATTGCTATCACGCTGTCACGGAAGCTAATGCGGAATGGATTAAGACTGCCCAATGGGAATCTTTTCTAAAAAGGATTGCACTGGATTACCGTGAAGTCATATTGAAGCATTTGGCCTTTAAGGTCCAGTTTCTCTCACAGAACCAGCAACAGCACTCTACTTATGACAGTTTGTTATGCAGACTTCTTTCAGCATCATTTCTTATATACTGGCCGTGGCCGCGTGAAAAAGCATATTGCACCTAAGAATGCAGACACGGAGCATGACCCTTGCCAGCGCAGCCAGCTTCTCAAGTGTCCCACAAACACCCCTCACACATACACCTCCAGCTTCTTTGCCATGGGACCACCTGCAAGTGTTAGTTCCTGCCACCTTTGGCTGCCTCACAAAGCTCGAGTGAGTGCCCAGCCTGTGCCTCTCCAGCCCCCTGCTCTGCGCTCGGGGCAGCCGGGGAACAGGGCGCTTCAGAAAGGGCAAGCATTCTTCAGTGGAGCACGGCCAAGACATTTTTCATTAATGCTTTACTCTTCTGCTCTTTGGACCCCATGTGATCCAGATTTGCATTTTGCTTGCTTCAGGATTAAAAAAAAAAAAGAGCATTGATACGTGCTACAGCAGCTGCAAAATTATAGCCACGACGGAGGCCGGGCAAGGGAGCCAGGACTTGAGGGAAAGGCAGCATCTTTCATTCAAGTAGCTGATTTAGCAACAGCGCTTCCAGTGTTTGCGGCTTTCAGGCATGCAAGCCCGTCTTCAGGCCCAAATCAGAAGCATACTTCAAATTAACTGCAGGTTTGGGGTGACTGCTCTGAGCTTAATTTAGCATGTTCAACCAGACAATTTGAGAGAAGTCTGTTTTCTGTATTAGCCGTCCGTAATGAGTGTAAATTACGATTTGCTTATGGATATCCGCGTTACCTGGCTCATCCAGCTTTTAGCCTCCGTGCTTCCTTGCCAGGAGAGACGGCTGGCTTGTTGTAGAAGGAATAATCAGAAGGGAGAGGGTAAGGCACCTCTCCTACTCTACTTTAGAGGAGATAACAGAACAATGGCTGAGCCATCAGTTCTAAGGAGGGGAAGTACTTTGGTCAGGCTCCCTTCAACCAGATGCAAATGGGGCCTAAAATGCCAGTGATGTCAAGGCTGAGCTTCCCAAACTACTCTGCACCACCCTTCTGAGATAAGAGGGATGGAAATGCAAAGGAATGCAGGCAGACATGTGGTTTCAGGTGAAGGGGGTGGGCTAGTTTAGCAATTTTATTTTTCCCCCTCAGATACCTCATCCCCTCACTAAGGCCTGCACTTCCAAAGGTATAACCAGAGCCATTTTTCCCCCAAATGGCATGTAACGCATTTTCTTTTTATAGGTACTACACTCCAGTGGACTGACTCTTTGCGGTTGCTGAGACCATGAAAAATAAGAAGAGTGGCATTATCTTGATGTCAGCCATAAGCTCAAGGGCTTTCGCATGACCAGATTTCCTGAAGGCATCTTCCTTTATACGTTGCTGCTGTGCTAGGTTTTAAATTCTTCCTCAGGACACTGGCCCACCAATTTGGCCAGCAGGACATCTCTTGTCCTTGTGTCTCATGCCTTGCCCAGTGCTCTTCCCTGGGGTGAGAGCGGGTGGGGCAGCACCTGGGGAAAACCAACAGAAACCAGAAAAAAAAAAAACCAACATCTCCAGGAGGGTTAAGCCAAAAGAAACCATAAAGAAGTCATTAGAGAGTCTACCCAGAGATTTAAAACAATGTTTAGGATCAGGCAGCCTAGGCAAGGCAGATACCCGGCTTCTGGGCTGCTGAGAAAGCAATGGGAAGGCAGGGAAGGTCTGCCCAGCCTGAAACAAAGGGAGAGTCCCAGAGAAAGGGCAGGGCAAGGTGGATCCAGGAGGTTGTCCCAGCCAAAAGAAGCCTGCTGGAGAGACAGAAAGATTACCTGGAAGCTGTACTCACAGGCAAACATCAGAGGCTGCTTCTCCTTACACAACGTAGTAACGCAAACTTATCCAAGCTCTCTGCAGAGGGGTGAACTTGAGGAACAGAAATGGGCATGCACCTGGGCTATTTCCAAACAACTTATCCAACTGGTATGTGACATTTTGTTTCAGAAAGCCGTGCTCACAGCCACTTTAATTGGCTTCTGTCACGTCGCTCCAGAAGAGTCCGGAGGTTGTCAGATGCGCTGGCTTGGTTAGGAGTGGAGCCCGGGCGCAGTTATCCTGGGATGGTCTCTGCAAGAGGGGGTAACGTTGCAGAATTGCACCCCAGGAGGGGCAAAAGCCTGTTCAGCCACGAAGCTGTCGCAAAGGAAGATCCAGAAGCAGCATCTCTCATGAAAACACAGGTCTGAGAGCCTTCACTTCTTCCTAAAGAAGCTGCATTGAGGCACCCCGTTGCTTTCCATCTCTGCCCTTCCCCGGTATTTTTCCCTTGCATGCCAAGCTCCCAGGTTGTGCAAGCAGCTTCCTTTCGCTCATTAACTCACATCAAAAGCCTGTTTTCCCAAGAGATGTGTCAATTCCCTGCCGTGCTAAACCTTCACAAGTACTGGGATCATCACAATTCCCAACCATCAAAAATGACTGGTTTCATTTCGCTGGGTTATCTTTGCAGCTCACACAGGCAGGCAGGCTCTGAAACACTTGGTAACACTCAGTCCCTCCCCGGTGTCAGATACATCGTGTGCCTGCAGGACAGCCCGTCTGCCCAAGGCCTAGTCACCAGCGAGGTACCACATCAAAATCAAGTGGAAATTTCAGGCTTATTCTTAATATTTCAACATTTGTAATTCCCCTTTCTACAGTTTGGGATTCGTGACGCAGGGAAAACCTTCTACAAATGACACGCGCACGTTAGGGCGGAGAAACATTTCTCTTTGGAGAAAGGCATAAATGCAGAAATTGCAGTGCTGGGCATCCCCGTGCAGCCCCTACTAGCGCTTCTGAGAGCTTGGCCCAGCTGCTGTCAACGAGTAACCACGCTTGCTTATGTGTAAAGACTCTGCAAACCAACAGCAGCTGTTTCCAAAATAACGGGGATACCGATTTCCTTCCTTGGCCCTGTCTTTCCCACATCCCAGCCACAAGGAGACCGTGCTTTCAAAGGGAAGGGGAGGCCGCCAGTCAGAAAGTCACAAAAAGCAAGTCTGCTGCTGAAATCTGCTGCAAGAACGGCATTAGGGAAGGAGAAATCCCCGGTCCTGAGAAACAGCTGACAATCCAACGCGTAGGGCTTCTTCCTAGTGCTGATTTTTCTTCTCTTCTGCAGGCACCTTTACCGCCCTTTTCCTTTTTTTTTTTTTTTTTTCTTTTTTTCTTTTCTTTTTTTGAACCCCCCTCCCATTTTCTCTCCAGCCGAGGGACTTGTTGCTCCATTTTCCCTCCAGCTCCGCTCCCGGCCTGGCCCCCCCCCCCCCCCCCCCCCCCGTCCCCTCTCCAACGCCGCCGGCTCCCCAGCCGATCGGAGCAGGAGGGAGGCTACGGGATCGGTTGTGCTGCTACCCCTGCTCCTTCCTCTCCATCTTCCTCCTCGGTTTTGCCTTCGGCAGCTCCTCTCTGCCAGCGAGGTGTATCACAGCCCGGGGCCTGGGGGAGCAGGGGGAACTACGGCAACAGGTCCCGCAAAACGGACACAAAACTGGGGAGAGCTGTTAAGGATTCACTGGTGCGGGAGCATACAAGGAAAGGGATGAGACAGAAGGCCTGGCTACGGCTCTTCCTCTATAATTTAATTTGTCCAGCCAGGGAAAAAGTCATACTATGGCACAGCCATACAACAGCATAAGCAAATATATTTAAAAAAAAAAAAAAATAAAAGTGAGGCCAGGGCAGCAAATGGTCTGTTACGTTCGCTCAGCTAGGCAGAAACAAAAGCCAGGCTTGGATTATTTGCTACACACAGCAAACCAGGGTTCAGCGACTCTTCTTTTTGGGAGGCCAAAAGGGGAAAGGTTTTCCTTGACACTTCAACCTGTTAAAGTACTGCCAGCTCTGCAGAAATTATTTACTCCCGATGGACACGCTACCGCTGTCAGACCGATGAGCTTAACGACCTGCCAGCCACGGAAGGTAAAGCCCTGAATAAATCACAACAAATGAAAATACTGTTAGCAGTTTCATAATTTAATGAAAAAGTACTTGTAAAAAGGGGACATCTGAAAAAGACCGAGTCCATCTTGGAAAATTGAATATATATATATATATTTATATATATAAAACAAAATGCAAAAACACACAAAAAAAAAATTTGACAAATAAGGTTAAGAGGTAATACTTCAAACAGTTAGCCACTGAACACACAATAAAAACTAGCAAATGCACTTTGGGGACAATACTTGAGAACTACATAACCAAGGGCTCCTTCATATATCTATTAAAATCATGTAAAAATTAGCAAAACCATTGCCCAGACTGGAAACAACTGAATTAATAACCCCAGAAGAGCAGAAACGCTAAGTTTTGCTGAAGCACCATTTTCCCTCCCTTCTGTCACAGGATTCTGGCCACAAAATAACACGGAGGCTTTGCTGACCTCCCAGATCAGTGTTCCCAATAAAAGCTTCATAAAATTTCATGACCAGCGAGAGAGGATTACTAATAAATATCGAAGGAGAACTAAGAGAATCAGAACTGGAATACAAATGAACAGACATTTGTTTACTTATTCTGAATGACCCATGGCTTAGAACACAAAGCATTTCCCGTTAAAATAAAATATGTGGAAACCTAAAATGCTACTGCATATTTACACCAAAAGAAATAATTTTGAAGACACAGCTCTAGAAAGATCAATTACACAAATATACATAAAATCAAGAAGTGAAAAAAAAAAAAAAATTAAGATGCATGAAGCAAACAGAGCAGAATTGCCAAGTATACTTTTTTTTTTTTTTTTTAAATTTCACTACTGAAAAGTCCTCCAGCCCCTGACCTGCTAGTCCTATTGCAACTAGGGAGATTTCAAAGTCTAAAACAGATAAAAAAAGTGTCGTTGCCATTTCCCAAGCTAAAAGCAATAAATTAAGATTATGAAGAAAAACGGGTGGCTGTTTGGATTCTGCATAGTCATCTTCACGCTGGGTGAGGAACACGGCCCGTTTCAGCCAGTGATACCGGGACAGAGGATGCTGTGTGTTTATGAAATGTACAGCATTTCAGAGAAAAACAGTGCAGTTACTTTGTTGATCAACACACCACCAGCTGGAAGACCAGACGTTTGCTCGCATTCAAACAAAAATCCCCCATCATTGGTTCCTTTCCCTTCTCGCTTCCTCAGTACTGACTGAAATGTAATCGCTACTCAACAACTGCTGATTTTAAAGGACGTACAAAAAAAAAAAAAAAGAGTTAGTTTGGGAAACAGCAACTGATCCAGAGGTTGAAAAGCAGCTTAATAAAGTAACAGATTTTCAGCAATTTAAAAAAAAAAAAAAACCAACAAAAAACCCAAACCATACTCCAAAATGATGACTGGCTAAATTTTACAGACCTAGATACCAGAAGTAAGGCTCCTACGCCTGCATTCAGGCAACTAGGATTGAAAATTTGAGCCTGCATAAAAAGTTCAGACAAAATTATTTCCAACTCAGTTTATTTTAAAAATACCAGGTACAAAGACCTCTGGACACGAAATCTCAGTTTTAAGAGGAACCCGGCATCACCGGTGATTGCCTAAATTTAAGTGTCAAATAGCATTTTTCTTTGAAGTAGTACATCTACTTTTGTAAACACTATCCACAAAATTAGCCATCTGTACTTGTTAGCTGGGTAAAATATTTACAAGTGCATCCCACAACAAGCAGCTATGTACAGAGATTAAAAAAAAAAAACAAAAAACTGAAGTACTAGAAGTTGTATATTTACAAAATAAGCAAGTTATTGTGAAAAGGAACACAACCTTCAGCGAGAGCAGGGAATGGGGCCGGGGGGGGGGCACGTCTAGAGGTCAGTGGGTTTGGCAGCGCCGGCGACGCCCGCCTGCACCCTCGGTGAGGAGCCTGCGACCACCACTGCAGTTCCGAGCCTCCCGCAGAAGAGGATCGTCGCTCAGTAGTCACTCCGGGCCTGACCCGGCAGAGCACAAACGTTCCCGGGGAGGGGGGGAAAAAAAAAAAAAAAAAAAAAACAACACACAAACCAAAAACCACCAGGACTTTCTGCACGCTTCCCTTCCTAACGCGTCCACGAGCGTGTTGCTGGGTTAAATCCGTACTGCGGGTGCCCTAAGAAAGCAGCTTCGGCGCGTGTCTCTGTCTGCAGTCTCTTGCAGCGCCTTACGAGCAATGCAAGGACTTCTTTCCTACCTGCCCGCCGTCCCCAGGCTGAACATGAACACGTTGCCCCCAACACAAACTGGCAAGGAGGGGGGGGGGGGGGGGAGCAGTTTCCTGAATTTACCCAAAGGGTAACCGCTCCGTGCTCTCCCAGGTGTTGCCTGCTAACGAAACCGCATCGATTTCCGATTTCCGCCTGACTGTGCCGTAAACCGAGTTAACCTCGCGAAGACCGCAAGCCAATTCACAGTTGAACAAAAACGGCTCCTGATTTCTCTCCCCTCCTCCCCCCCCCCATCCCCTACTGCAACTCTTCCTAACGTAGGTCCTGGACTATTTTCTGGAACCTTCTGATGCCGAGCTTTGCACTGGTACACTGGAATAGGTAAAGGCTGAGTTACCCCGTGGGGGCTTCTAATCACCTTTGTACCGAGCTGTGAGAAATCATATTCTTTTTGTTTCTATTGTGACAATCTCTTCCGAAGTCCTTACTTGGGCTTTCTCTCTCTGAGCTGCTTCGTCTTAACCTCACTTGCTCTTTGTTTTCATCGCTTTCTGCTTCAGAGTCACTCAGCTCTAAGTCAGGACAGTACCCGTCGTTGTCCTGGTACGGAGCACCTTCAAGCGTCTGCTTGCTCCACAAGCGATCTTTTGTTGCAAGTCTTCTCGTGGGCTTTTCACAGCACCGGAGATCTTCGGTGGTCCTCACCAGGCTGTTGGTAGCCTCTTTAAAAGACCGGCTAAAATGTTCTATGGTGGATTTTCTGAAACCGCTCTGGCTGGCCAAGCGAGCGCTGAGCACGGGCTCTTGTTCGTAGGGCGTCTGGCTGGAGCTGTCTCTCTGGCTCACGTCTCCAGCCCTGCCCATCAGGCCGTTGGACTTGGCCGCCAGCCTCGAGTTCTCCTGCTGCACCCGCCCGTTCCCAATGGAAGACTGTCCGTGCAAAGCAGCCTGGAGGGCTAAGGGCTTCCCGGACGGCTGGCCCCGGTAAAACTCCGGCATCGGCGTGGGCCCAGAATCCTTCGCCTCGCTCCGAGGCTTGCCGATCCCCGCCAGCAACCCGTTACTTCTGCTGTCGTGCTGATACCTGGAGTAAGATTTTGCTTTCATTTCAAACGGTTCCTTTGACATCGGCACGCTCCGTTTGCTGTAAACGGTGCTGCTGTTGTCGGGAGAAAGCGGTCTGTTGCCAGGCTTCAGCGAGTTGTTTTTGCAATCTCCTAGTGCTGATTTGGGCATTTTTAACTTCAGGGTGATCCTGGGAGGTGGGTAGAACAGTGTGTTCTCTAGTGCACTTGTCAGGGTATGGCCTACGGGAGAGAGAGATGAGGGGGCAGAAGAAAAAAAAGGCTTTTTAGAAAGAGATTTTTTTTTTTTTTTTTTTTTTACATCGTTTTGTTATCTGTAGCAAGTTTTATAGTCCATCAGAAGGTCACTCAACAGTAAGAAGCATTTGCAAACAATTTGTGTGAAATTATTTTAGGACATTAAAGAGAAGTTGGGATAATGAAAACTGTTCCAAATTACCCACCGTTTTGGAATTTAGGTAAGCATTTTAGCATTTCCATTAAAAACAACAATGTGCCCTTTTTACAGGGCTTTAAGCCAGCGAATTGAACCAGTTTTGAGATATGACTGAAGTAGTTCCAACAAAGCTATAAAAAAGGTTCATATGCAGTTTTGGATGGAGAAAAAACAATGCTTCAAACTGAGTTTCAATTTGGACTTAGTTCAACTCTCTGCTTTGTATTATAAAATCCGCTACGCTTTAAAAGTCTTTTCACCCCAATATATTAATCTTTATGATATTATACACGTACAGCACCATCGCAAAGTGGCTATCAAGCTATACTAATAAGCATTACAAAAGCACTTTTATTTGTAAAGACATAAAATAAATTCAGTAGACATTTCTAATAAAATGCATTTACACAAAACCAAAGTCCTGTACGGTACCGCTGCTTCCACAAAGTACCAGTCTGATCTAAAACAGTTTTAAAAAAACCACCTTGTCAGTACTAATTAAATTATCCATGTTTCAGGGGCAGAGAATAAAAGCACAAAGACTCCCCTCTAAATCGGTAATTAAAAACATAATATGCATCTTGAAAGAACAGAGGGATCTTAATTTCACATTGAAGAAATAGCTGCCTTCCCTATTAAAAAAAAAAAAAAAAGTAATTGTGCTGCAATGTATACTCTTCTTCCTCTTTCCAAATGTTGTGTTCCTTACTTCAGAACGGTCGCTATAAAAGTGAAGGGCAGGGTGGGTTTTGGTACATCAGCATTCCTAACCACTTACTGTTCACTATTAAAAACCAGAGTGCTTCAACTCTTTTTGAGGGAAGGAGAGTAACTGCAGATGTCAAGCTAAGAAAAGCCTCTTTGCCCTGTTCGTCAAGCGTGCAAGGCAACGTGAGAACAGCAGCGACTCCCACCCGTCACTCCTCTCTCTTGCCTGAAGAAACGAACTGCTGACAGCAAGCAAAACTGGACAACCAAGCCAAACAGCTGGAGAACCAAGCGGCGGTGCAGAGCTTGCTGGGGGGAAACAGCACCATAAACCAGGAGCCCAAGGAAGCAAAACCAGCTCGTTTCTGCTATCGGGATGCCGTAGTGATTGGTAAGTAGTAGGCATATACCAGAAAAGGCCGTAAAATAAAGAAATATCCAAGTAAATATTTGAAGAGATTAAGGAGTTTTGTGTGTGTTGCTACTTCCGTTGACTGTGTACTTGAATAAAGTTTTTAAAGGCAGATTTACAGTGTTAAAAACACTAAGCAGGTACATAAAGAGAAGGCGCTTTTCAGTTTAAACACAGACAGAATTTGTAAATATTTTACATCTATATGATTACCTGCAGCAATTTCCTGATTAATGAGCTGGACTTGCAAATTGAAGACCTGTTCATGTACTTTACTGTGGGACAACTTCAGTTTCTCTCTTCTGCTTACCATGTAGCAGAGATTTCTTACCTACGGAAGAATAACAGGAGACTTAATAAGCAACAGGAAAATCAGTCCTGACGTAGTTAAAAAAAGTGCATCATCAACAGAACCAGAACAACATTATGTGCAAAGTTCCTTAGCAAAGTTCTTGTGAATATTATTAAACTTACTTCACTACAAATTAAAAAAAAAAAAAAAAAAAACAAAACAAAACCGAATTTTATTTTAATTGCCAATTTAATGAATCCCTTAGAATATATTCTGCAAGATGGCAGAATATATTTTCATCTCCAAGAACAGTGAGTGAACACAAAATTCCAGTCAGAAGAAAAGTAAGTAATTTCTAAGACTTGCTTGTCTGTAAGCCTGCTTCCACTATGTACAATGCTGAGGATGTTACTGCAGGCAGTACTGGATTGTCCCAAAATTTCCTGGAAAAGTGCTTCACAGAATGATTTTTAACAGGTAAAATATGTTTGCTTCCACGAAAATGACTGCAGCGTTATGAAGTAAAACTTTTTACAAAGCTACCAAAGACAGCTGGCCTGTTTGGACTAAAACTAACACGGCAGATCACCTCTAGAAGAACACTCTGCCTTCTTGTAAAATGTACGCATGCAGTAGTTTCTTTTCTGACTCCACTGCATTGACTCATGAGGCTCAACAAGGCCAAGCGCGAGGTGCTGCACCGGGGTGGGGGTTAACCCCGGGGAGCAGTCCAGGCTGGGGGGTGAGTGGATCGAGAGCAGCCCCGTGGAGGAGGACTTGGGGGTACTGGTGGATGAAAAGCTGGGCGTGAGCCAGCAATGTGAGCTCGCAGCCTGGAGAGCCAACCCCGTCGTGGGCTGCATCGGGAGAAGTGGGGCCAGCAGGGCCGGGGAGGGGATCCTCCCCCTCTGCTCCGCTCTGGGGAGACCCCCCTGCAGTGCTGGGGCCAGCTGGGGGGCCCCAGGAAAGACATGGACATGGCTGGAGTGGTTCCAGAGGAGGCCACAAATTTGCTGGGGGGGGGGGCTGGAGCAGCTCCCCTGTGAGGCCAGGCTGAGAGAGTTGGGGGGGGGGGGGGCTCTGGGGAGACCTTATAGCGGCCTTTCTTCATGTGAAAGGGGATTATAAGAAAGACAGAGCGAGGTAAGGGCCTGTAGTGACAGGACAAGGAGCAACAAGTTTTAAACTGAAGGAGGGAGGTTTAGATTCTAAAAAAATGTCTTCCTTACGCCCAGTGAGGGGGGTGAGGCGCTGGCCCAGGGCGCCCAGAGAAGCTGTGGCTGCCCCCTCCCTGGGAGGGTTAAAGCCCAGGGCAGACAGAGCTTTGAGCAACTGGGCTGGGGGAAGGTGTCCCTGCCCGTGGGTAGGGGGTTAGATTAGATGATCTTTAAAGGTCCCTTCCAGCCCAAGCCATCCTGTGATTCAGCTCCCCATCATTTTATTTTCACTATTTCAGTTAATAGCAACACTTCCACCTAAGGTAGTAAGAACAGGAAGAGGCACTGCAAGTTCTTGATAAACACTTAAAAGAGCTTCCAGAACACAGAAACGGTGTAGGGTCTGGTTGAAAGATATTTGTCAAACATACTTCCCCCAGCACTCAACTCCATCTGTTCAGAACTGGAACCTCTCTCCCCAGACAGGAAATCCCAAGATTCCCAAATTTATATTCGTCCCAGGACATAACTGAGTAGAAAGTCTTGTGGCAAGAAAAGTTCAGACACATCGAGACAGACGTTTCAACTATGAATTACCTCTATTCAGAGTAAGTACATCAATTTCAGGGAAATTTGATGCAAGCCAAGCATTCAAAAAAAGAGAAAAAGCTCAAAATGATCTCTTGAAAAAAAAAAAAAACCACCCTGAAATCCCAACTTTCCATCTGAAGCATGTTATGGGATTTTAATTTTTTTTTTAAAATAAGGATCCATGATATCCAAAGTAGCCCTGGAAAATGAAATCTGAGATTGATTATGACTAGATTCAAGACAACAGTTACACTGACAAGTGCAAATCTTGGCTCCAACACTCATCTCCTTGTATTTTCATGTTCTCTCCCCAATATTGTTTTCCCTTTTGTTACAACACTACTTTCTCCCCCTTTTCTTTCTCCTCTCCTCTCCAATGTCTCTGAATCACATATAGCACATCCACTTTCTTTTGTTACCTTTTTTTTTTTTTTTTTACATTCACCACCTATCTCTAAGTGCTTGAAAACTGCAGGGGATCACTAGCCAACAGGCCAACCTAGTGGGCAGCCTCTGAGCAGTACCAAGCCTGGTTTCCTCCCCTATCAGCTTCCAGAAAAAGGCACTCTCTATGCCTTCCTAATAAATTCCTGCTCTGAATTTTGCTGACAGATTCCATCTTTTCGAAGTACCAGCTTGCTGGCAATCTGGTAAGAGCCCAGGTAGCTCCTGCTAAAAAGATAATTTCCTTTTCCCCCTTCTGAGTAAAGCCACAAGCAGTGGTAGACTCAGCGGGTTGTTTTCAGACCGCTAACCAACCGTAGTGCCTGAGGCAGCTACGTGCAGTGAAAGCAGCAAAGTCTAGAGAGCAACGAGTGATTCAGCCTGCCCGCTCCCTGGGACTAGCTGACACCAGCACCCCGGTGGGGAAGGGAGGTGCGTAAGAGTCCTGAATCAGATGTCACGGGAAGTGGTACGAGTACAGGCCAGCATTATTTTTCTGTGTGTGTGTAGCCAAGAAGTCACTGTGGAAGTTAACCATCTGGGACTTCACCCATTTGCCTTCAAACCACGAGGGTGAGCAGCTCTGCTTTAATGTATTTTTAGGATCCTCCGAAAGCTTAATGCGCACTCGCCAAAGAATACTTACCGCTTTACTTTTGCAAATTGATTGTTCCAAACCCAGAACCGGCTAATATTTACCATTCTGTTATAACCATAGCAAAATGCCTTTTTAGTTACAAACCCAAAGTCCCTCCATCCCAAGACGGAAGGTGGAAGATAAGAATTTGTTAAGCCTGCCCCACTCCTTTGCTGTTTTCACTTACGTTTGTTCAACAAAGGTAAATTTTTTTGTTACTGAATCTGTATCACTAGCAATCACTACAGCTGCATCAAATAAATTTATTCAATTTTTTGAAACAGTTACTCAATTGAAGTTGAAATCAAAAAGTCAATTAGCAAATATGTCCATTGTGCATGGAAACCTGCATCTTAAAACGCATAAAGGAATAACCTGTAAGCAAGTCAGAAAGCACTCCTTTCACGCTGGATCTCTCACTGGACTGAGAAGGGACAGCTCCTGAAAGTCTCTGCAGCAGGCAGTGCAGCATATCACAAGACCGAAGTTGAAGGCCTTACCTTTTTCTTCAGTTAATATTTTTTAAAACATCTCCCTGTGCTTCCCCCATTCCCACTTTTGTCCACGAACGAAGACCTTGCTCACCTGCAAATAGTTTTTCAAGACTTTACCAGTTAAATTCTTACCCTCTCTAGGTCCTGCCTCAAATGCATGAACATCCTCATGCGAGTATGAATGCTATCTTCTTTTGGCTGCACCAAGCCATTTTCTTCATCCTCCTTGGGAGGAAACAATGGTTTGTTAAAGTTACTTTTTCGCTTTAATTTCCAGTAATTGTAGATGAAGTCTACAGCCAGTTTAGGAAGGCCGAGTTCTGCTGCAACATCCTCCACTTTAACTAGGGAGTAAAACTCTTCTTCCAGCTCTCGGAGTTTTTGGGCTCGCAAACTGGTTTTCTCACTCTCTGTTTGCTTCTGGTCTGACACACTCTTGGGGTGCTCATCGACATCAGGCAGCGAATTCTGTTTGTTCTTGCTATGCTTTAGACAATAGGACTTGAATTTGACCTCATCCCCATCGTCCAGGATAGTCTTCATCTCTAAGCTATGCTCAAAGGCACAGGTGACATGAAAGGCAGTGATGCAGCTTTTCACAGAGCACTACAAAGTAAATCAAAAAACCTCAGTCATTAACAGTAGCAACAAACCAGAAAAAAAGGACAGAATTATCTTAATTACATGAAAGTCCATCTCTATAAAAACATATTTCCTAAACACTCCTAAAAATGATCTCTCTGAAGCTGGTATCACTCAATTTAGTATGTTCCTGTTTATGAACAGTGTTCAACAGAAGGACCTTTCTATCCATCTCTGAACCCACACAGTAGGAGTCTTTATACATCTCAGCCTTATTCAAAAGAAGGCAACCCAGACTAACTCCTCAATCTCTGTGCTGGTGAACTAATTTGACAGCAAACAGCTATGAAGAAGTAGGCATCTATCCAATGGTCATCTGCATTGTAAAGCATCTCTGAACGCAAGAGGAACAAAATGCAAAACCGAATTTGCCCCTCTCACATAAATACCATGGGACAAGGACATACCTGAATGCAAGCACCAGTTTTCAGTTTGCATAAACTACACACTAGAGCCCACCGACTTGGTGGAATGTGAGACACCTTTGTGATTGGCTCCATCCTTTCTGGACAAGCAATACTAACCTGGAAACAAAGAAACAGCATGGAAAGCAGTTACCAAGGCAATAAAAACAAGCTCACCATTAATACCAGAAAAAGAAATACGACCACGCACTTATCTCACTGCGAGATCTCCGCGTGCTCGTATTTCTCAGCAAGGGATCCTAAAAGATCCCACATGAACACAGTAATGTGGAATACTACTAGTTTAACCTGAGGGCTAAAAGTTGCAATTTTTCAGAACATCTGAGTAAATGATACTTATTTCCTTTCTGTTGTTTGGGGTTTTTTGTTGTTTTGGTTTTTTTGTTTGTTTGTTTTGTTTTTTTTTCCCCTCTTGTGCTGCTTTAACAGGTCTAACTTAAAAAGTACCAAAATACAAGCGATTCAGAACAAAATAGGAACGCTTACTCACCTGATTAGTTCCTTCTTTGAGATCCACTGACGTGCTACAATAGCTACTTCTGCCAGCTCCCAATTTGGGGCAGAACCAGATCTATCAGTCAGCAGCCAGGGAAAGCCTCGCTTCCCAGCTCTGCCTTTCCACCGAGCGCTCCCCAACGCAAGAGGTGATTCTAATACACTTTCCTAACTACAGATTGTATCAAGTATCATTTGAGAAAGAATACAACAAACTTCTCTTACTGCAAAGCACGGTATATTCTCTTGTGCCAGTTTTCACATACTTAGTCTGGATGATCCATTTGTCTCTGGTAGACCAGATTATGGATATTAATACTAAAAGAAAGAAAAAAATTCAGATAAGCACAGGATACCTTTTCCTATTTTTTGTTATACTAACGTCCATATATCCACTGTGATAGAAATTTCTCAGCTGCCTGTTGTCCATACTGGGAAACAAGGACTATCCTCCGTAATGTGGACACCAAGCCAGACATAAATTATCTCTGCAGGCATCCCTGAGCCACTCCTGACTGACAGGATTTATCCAAGAGTAGACGCAAGAAGGTGGCCAGCTCTGAATGACCAAGACACAGAACTGGGCCAGTATGAGAATGGCACATGGCAGACGATTTCAGCAAGATAACTGTTCTGTCCCAAGAATGCCAGTCTCCAAAAACTCGGATTTTGATGCTTACACAGCACTTTTTAAATTTAGCAGTTGTGTGCTTTGGATGGCTACCTCCTTGAAGCAGAAATGCAATGCTCATCCTAGCTAGGAAGATCGCCACACTTTCTACGAACAATTCACCTGAACAGAGAAGACCTCGATTTTCAGTGGTGGGCAGATCTAAGAATTCAGAGGAGGGAAGTTCCTAGGTCATGCTCTGTGGCACTGTCAGGCCAGAATAAAGCTGATTTCTTAAGAAAACAATTCATGCTGAGATTTGAGCAAAATTTTTTTTTTTTTCCTAGAAAACTTCAAGAGCACTACGCTACAGTATTTTTCATAAATTAACTCCGTAAGACTCTCCTAGGGAAATCCAGGTTATCTGAATTAGTTTAACGAGTGATAATTAAACCTTTGACTTTACAAGAGCCAGTAGACTAAGCTGAATTTTCTAGCTTCCCCTTGGGGGAACACCAACAATCACACGATGCACTTAATTCATCTTAAATCCTGCTTAATCCCTGAGGAGGAAAGGCTTTGCTTCACTAGACCTCCTTTGTGAGGTAGATTTATCCCAAGATAGCAGTGCTACGATCATCAAGTCCACGAGTCACAGTTGCTGTGCTCAAACTGAGTATTTTTGCTGCTCTCTCCTTCTTATTGCACTGCTCTAAGGATCTTTTAAGTAGGTGGACAAGACAGCTTTGCAAGAGATTACTTGGTTCATCATTTCCACATTTAAAAAAGTTGATCAGCAGTTCATGAATTAATGACATAAATTGAGTCAAATAAGATTTATAGAATACTCCACCCTCTCACCCCCCAACTGCAAGCCACATCTGAAATATACGGAGGTCAACCTCCTGCATGGCATTTCCAGAAGTCTTCGTTAGGAAGACAGTGAGATGCTTCAGAGAGGGTCCAAGTTTTACCAGACAAGAAGAATAGGCAGGCAATACGTGATGCCCTCATCAAGTAGTAATGACAATTTAATCTGTTGTGGTCTTCCTGTAAATCGGTAGGGAAGCGACAAAGTTGTCCCTGAAACACCCGAGTGGTTCCACAAAATTATGTCCAGTGCTCTTAAATATCATCAAATACAGCTTTTTTGCTTCCAAAAGGTAAGAGCCTTTCATCAACATAACCTGACCTTGCTCAAAACAGAGCTGGTTACAAGTTGCATCAGTATTTATGAAACAATATTGTACAAAGACTGATCGCAATTCTTGTCCCAGTTACCACTATACTAAGAGGCAAGTCTTCCTTTGGGAATTAAGGGATTTTATCAACTTGTCAGGTTTTCCTTTCAAAAAGAAACCAGAATCTTCGGCGAATTTTTCTGGAGACTGAGTAATACCAGCTTTCCATCGTGCTTCCCAGCAGGAGCTGGGAATTGACACAGACCTTCTCCCTGTCTCTCTCTACCCTTATTAATGCTCTCCCTGCTCCTTCCCCAGAGAGGACTCATAAGGTCAGGAAACATTTATGTTGGAAATATTGTCCATTCAGCTTGTAACGCTGCCTGTTTATACTACCCCACTTTGTAAAAGCACAAAGAGGCACTTACAGAGTCAGGTGCGATTTATTTATACTGGCCGCATGCTGCCTGCGTGTTTCTGATATTCAATGAGAGGAGTCAAGGCAAAGACTGTTTGAACTTTGCTGCTCACAAGGGATCCAGAGAGCGGAGAGGCCAACCTTTTCATTCCCCCAAACCTCCCATCCCAAGGCAGAAATGATCCATCCGCTGTAACATGTAGTAGCTGTTTTCTTTGTTATTTCTTCACCTTGTATCCGGTTACATTTTGACCGCTACACTCTGAAGAAGTTTTAAGAGTGGGAGAGAGTGAAGACAAAGGGCTGTTGAAGCCTCCTCTTTGCAACCGTTTCGCACGTGAGCTGCCAGCTCGACTGTCACCCTGCTGCCCTCTTCTCCCCTGCTAACCTGCCACCAGCAGCTGCACGAGTGCACAACGAGCTGCATGGGTGGCCGGCAAGGGCAGCCCGCTCACAGCAGCAGCTAAGGATAGGCAGCTTGATACCCTCCCAGTCCTAGCTAAGAAAAATAACTTTCTGCTTCAGCTAACACCACACTGATTGAGGGAGGACATAACTGTAATCTAAGGCAGAGAAGGACCTTGAATTTCAAAACACCTGGTGTAAGTTTTCTGGTCTCAGTGTTTCCTTTTTTTTTTTTTTTATTTTCAAAGAATGCCTTTTCAGAAAACATGAAATAGTCTACATGTTTACACTAAAAGATCATAAAGACAGAAGAATAAAAGGATATAAGCCAACAGTGAGTACCCTTTGGAAAATAAAAACCTTCAAATGTCCCAATCAGTCACGTGAGGGTCAAGAAAGCCATTTGACAGCATTAGTTCACAGGGAAGGGAGGGAAGAAAAAACATTTTAAGACAGTGCTGCATGAGTTACCGAAGGAAAATACCTGGTGCAATTGCCTGCAACAATGCTAGCTTATACTCGGTGACTCATAAAGTCCCTCTCTGAACCTTTCACCACAAGGCCCAGACATGTTTACGGCCCGTTCCTCTCTGCGTTCTGCCTGGCTCCATTTTCGTAGGGCCACAAGAGGAAATGGCAGTGACTTTATAATTCACACCCTGGGATTCAAGCTCTGCCACCCGGGTGCTCCCCCCGCAGCCTCTCTCCCTCCGCCAGAGGGAGGTGGCCAGGCAGGAAGGCGGCGTGTGCTCCCTGCCCTGCCAGCACCTGCTTCCCAAACCTGCCGGCTCCTCTTCTGCTGGCAAGAGCATCAAGGCAACCGCATGCAGAAATGACCTCTTAAGAAAACCAGTCCGCTCAGAGCCAGGAGAACTTCCAGCCAAGACACTTCATAAGTACGGGAGGAAAAGTCAGGAGATTTTTGTTTGAATTTTTACATAAATATTTGTGTTTGCCTTTTTTTTTTTTTTCCTCAACTCCTCTCTCCTTAAAGGTGGAAGAGACGCCAGGAACTACAACAAGCAGGCCTGAAAGGAAAAGTGCAACTGCAAAGATAACCTCCTTGAAAAGCAGATATATGCCTGAGACAGAGCTAAGAATTACACATGGCATCTGGTTGCTATGTTAGAAACAAATACCCAGAATCTTAACATCTTCCTCCAAGTTTTGCAAAGGTGAGGCCTGGCTGCACTTGGGAGCAGAAGGTTCAGAAAATAAGGCATCCATCCCCCTGATATCGTGGTACTGACAGATCTGGCTACCACCTCACATTAAACCACCCACTGTAATGGATTTGTGGCTCTTACCAGAAAGAAAAAAAAAAATTCCAAGTACAAATTAAACACAAACCCCACCCATACACAAGTGAACATTCCGATTTACAGAATTACACTGTGACGCTAAACTTGATTCAAAATGAAGAAGTGTAAGGCTTCACAATGAAACTCTCCATTATATATAGGCACAGATATATCAAAAAAGCCTTTACTTAGCAGATAAAAAGCCGCATCTCCCCACTGTTCAGAAAAATGTTAGTTCAAAAAACACCTTAACTACAAATCTTAGAATCTATTCTATACAAATAATGCAACTGGGGGTTCTTTTTTTAAAAAAAAAAAGTGGATGTATTAATGCAAACCGTATGCACCTACCGGAGCATACAAATTCATCAGAAAATAAGAGAGACAGTGAAGCTGCAATGGCACAGTGAACACTCGCTTACATCAGTAACCCCTTCTAGCAGGTCGCTCAGATACCATAACGACACCAAGAAGTGAATGTAAATGGAGGGGACAAAGTGATTAATTAATGGAACATAAGCTGGACTCTCTCCCAGTCTTCACAGACTGTGCAGACTCATCAGAATAAAGCCTGGTATTAAGCCAGACAGATGCCTTATATCATGAGAACGTAAAAATGCAGAAAAGGAACAAGTCGGACAGAGAGGAGTCTACAATACAAAAGAAAGAGGCAGAAATTAGGTTTTACCTCTGGAATCCAGAGAGCACAGCTCACATGTGCCCACTTGGTCCCTGTCCTGGTGGCTTTCATGGCACCTCCTCTTTTGGGACACAGGAGGCACTGAGGATGTATTCCCAGGACACAGGTACGACACAACCAGCTCCCTTCGGGTACTTTTAAGATTCCATAGCACGCCTTGAAGGAAAACAGGCATTGAGATCATTGTGCTGAAATGATTTCACACGTGAGCATTAATATTAATTCGGAGCAAAGCTTTCAAATAGTAAAGGCATGGTTTGGCTTTCCCTTAATCCTTCTCTAAGTTCCTTACCTGAAAATGAGTCAAGAGCTCGATAAACAGTTTCTAAAGCAGACTTTTTATGCCAGTTTCTTTTTAAAACGTGCTGACATTATTTGTTTATAGTGTAAAACATACCCATTGTAACTGCACTTCACCACTGATGTTAAGAACTTCCATCTTTGCTTTTAGTGACTTTTAAATTGCTGAAGCAAAAAATGTAGACATTTCTTTAAATTGGCTGCTGCAACTCATCCTTTTTAAAATCACAATTTCCTACCGCCAATAACTTTATACTCTATCATCATTCTATTTAGATGCAAAGGGATATGAGCTGTTTGACTGATGACTGTTTCCTACAACATTAAATTACCTTTGTGGTTACAGTTCTGTGACTTGTTTGTTACTTTAAATATTTATATAATATTGTAACAAAAATTATGGCATGTACTGAAATTATGAGGTGCTGGAGTTTATGGATATTTCCTGAGTATTGCACTTAACCCCTTGGAGAAGGAGACATTCCTTAAGTTTTGCTAGGTTTCAGAATTAAACACAGAAAGGAAAAAGTAAAGAAAAAAATCAGTCTGCTTTCTGATTCAAATTCCTTGTGGCTCTTAATGGCTAACTGCATGTGCACCTAGACATGTCCTGCTGTACACACGTACACGCGTATTAAATGGACTGTACCTGAATCCACTGTCTGTCACCAAGGTCTAATTCCACTCAGCTGCTCCAAATAAAAGTTTTATCAAAAGGGTGGCTTTCAGAGGAAAACCCACCACTCCTAACACTGTCTCTGGGATCAGTAACACTAAAAGTCTCGAGAGAACAGGATCAGCAGCTGTAACATCTTTCCGATTCAAATCTAGTATAAAATTCCCACACTTGCCTTCCCAGCCTTCTGATTATAAGATCTCAGTATTAATACGAAGTGATATCAGAAAACACTGCACATTTATGTCAGGCTTGTAGATAGGGGCACTTTCCTGAATTAAATTCCGCAAGACTGCCTACCCTAAATGCTATCTTGATGTGATGACTGCTGTAAAAACCCAACAGGGGGAGCTGTAATCTAAATTTTAGAAGTGATTTTTTTTTTTTTTTCCTCTTATGTGGCACATTCCCACCAGCATTCTTTCTATTACTGAAGCGGAAGTGGCATTACACCTAAGATCACATTTAGGGAATTGGAAATGGACTGAAACTATTTTCTAATTTAATCCAACTAATAAGTGGCGGAGGCCTAGACTACTAAACCAGTAATTTCACAATGTGTTTGAGCCAGCACAAGAGGGCACCATGAAGGAGGAAATTTCTCACACTCCTCCTCACCCCCACCTCCAAACTGTGTGATGACTAACAGACCTGGGGCTACTTGGTGAACCAGAGCTGATCCAGATTAAAAAAAAAAAATCAAATTATTTGTTGTTGTTGTTGTTGTTAGGATTAGGTCTAGCCCAGACACGCTCCCGAGTGCGTTTCGGGCAGATGTAGCCTGGGGTAGGGTCAGGAGCAAGGAGGCAGCAGGCCATCAGCTCAAGCTCAGATGTCAGCAGGCAACCGGGAGCCTCTGACTGCAAATTCATCATTAGTTTTGAAGAGGCACAAGCAGGGGCTGAAGGAGGCAGCCCAGCTACCGGCTGTATTCCTGTCACTGGCTACGTTACTGGCACTCAGGCTCACGGGGCTGCTTCGTGCAGTGAATCAGATCAGGAAAGCAGTTGGGCTGGAAGCCAGCCCACTGCAAGCAGGGAGGTGACAGGTCCTTTTTCAGCCAGATATGTTTGCCGAGTATTACTTGTAGTCAGTACAAAAATATATTTAATAAAAAAAAAAAAAAAATAGCAAAACCCCCTTCCAGAACAGGACGCACAGCAACCACAGGATTCTTACCCCTTTTTTGATTGTAAGGATACCCCCTGCCTGCCTACGCTGAGCTCAGTCGGTGTAAAGTCTTGGCTACATCTGAAACACTGTAAACGTGAACAACATTCAGACCGAGAGCATGGTTACTGCAGGTGGTTATGCCTTCTAAAAAAGATCAGTCTGTTAAAGCGTGTACACGCGGTTTCAGATGTCTAAACTAGGACAGCCCTTGTCTGTCCAGTTAACTAATCAGTCAAGGAGGAAAAACCCCAGCTCTGAAACAAATCATCTTTAGATTCCCCACAAACGGGCAAGCCAGCATTTCCTGCCCTGTTTATCTTAACAAGCAGGTTTAGTGAGAGGGGAAAAATTGCTTACAGTCACAGAGGAAGTACTTGCAAGCCCCAAGAACACATTTCGTGTTCCCAGTAGAACATAGGTGTCCACGTACTTACGATGCCTGGTCACTTAATCTACTGTAACTGTCAGGGTACAAAAATTCAACTTAGTACTGCAACACCCTTCACACCTAGAAAATCACAGCGCCCTCCGATTAATATTTAGTATCAGCTCAAATTCCAGACTTCCCAAGGTAAACTAAGAGCCCAGGACGGTGTCAGCATTTCTGCAGGCACTAACCTGATGAACACAGATATTACACTTGTCACAAAACACCATGTCATTCCCATCTTCACTGTCAGGGGACCGGCACACGTCACAGATGACATCTTCATCATATTCAATACCCAATCCTTCTTCAGTCTCAATAGCGTGATTCATGTTCTCATGACAGTGCCGTTCCAGCACTTCAATTGTCTTTTCCATTGTGTTTTCATCCAGGGGCCCACATCCTGCAACACAGAATAGGGAAGGGAAATTAGAGAACAGTCAGGTGCCTCTGACCAAGTCAGAGATGCAGGAAGACAGAAGGACAACTTCTAGCAACTAAAGCGGTAGACATAGTGTCTTCTCTCCTATCACGTATACTAAAAATAAAATAAAAATAGAAAACCTTTCTCACTCACTGGCTAATTGTAGCATTATTTTATAAATGCAAGTAGAACTACTACTGGAGCAAAAGTTTAAGTTGTACATAAAACATAAAACTGACCCTTGAAGAAAACACTATTTCATAAAAGACAGACAGCGGTTCCTGTAACTGCTACCTGCTCCCATACAACTGTTCCTCCACCTCCATCACTTTAAGAAACACGAATGACATCCAAAATCATACACAATGTTCTTCTGAAGAGTAACTCTCTAGGAAACAAAACCTATCAAGAACACTTTAGATCTTACAATAATACAGAAGTTGACACCACCATTCAGTACACTACTTGAGTGATCAGTATGAAAAGTTATTAGAAGTGTTTTTGTTGTTTTGCTAGGCTTTTTAAAAATAAAATAGTAGCTACATATACTACTGAAAATCCATACAATCTGTTCACCTGAACACTACACACGCTATATACACTTACCACTAATCAAGCTTTGCATAAGCAGAACCACCTGAAAAGGATCTGCCCATGAGCCTGGTCCCAAGCAGCATACGTCCTGAAGCTGCAAGCTGAAGAAACCCAGGAAATCTCCAAACTGCATCATCTTAAAATCCTCAGTCAAAAACGGTGCTGCTGCCCATAGTTCACTATTTACTCAGACCTTTAAAGGCCAGGATATTCATGTAACATTCATCTCAGCAGCTAACATTTTAACTGCTAGACTATGCACAAGAATATGGCTACTCATTTTGATTCGCTGTTGCAAATGATAAACAGGGAGATGGAAGAGATAAATAACTGCTGGTACAAAGTGCCTTCTGCTATTAAACTGCTCTCTCTGATGCCCAGATGTTTTCTCACTCCCTGAATTCGAAAGAGTTACAGAATTATGCAGGTGGGAAGGGACCTTCAGACAGCTCCAGCCCAGTCCCTGGCTCCAAGCAATCAAGAGTGAATCTAGTCAAGGTTGTTGCTCAAGAGACATGCCAAGAGTCAGGTCTTGAAGCGGATGGAGATCTGCCCCCCAGAACAGCTAACAGCTTTTGCTAACAACATCCCTGTATGCCTGGGAAGCTTGTCCTTCCTTCTACCTCTTACATACATCTTCCGGCACTGGAGCTCAGTTATGGGTTCCCTCCTTCACCAAGCTGGTCTCCTGACACATCTATTTGTTTTCCTGAATGTCTGGATGGATCTTTCTTGTGCTTGGAGGACACTGTCCTTGAAGTCCTGCTAGGTCTCTTCAGCAGTTCCAGATCCCACATACCAGTTACCCAAGTAAGTAGAAACCTGCTCCCCTCGACTCCAGGACCAGAAGGCAGTAGCCTTCCTTTCCTCACTCCCCTCAGGGTCTCAGGCACCACTATTTCACAGCTACTACACCCAATGCTGTCATCATTTACCACGTCCCTCCAGGTTCTTCCTTGTTTGTGAACACCAAATCCAGGAGATGCCAAATATCTCCCTCTTTTGCCCACCCGCCCTTCCTAAAGGACCTGCAAACATCCATGGAAGAATGCCAGTCACGCGGGCAATTCCACCACAAGTCTGTTACTCCAGTGGTAATTTCATTATTATTTTCCGTAGCTCACTCCCCCTCACAGCCCTCTATACCCACAGCCTGGATGGAAAAAAGAGAGTTTACTGAGCTGATTTTAAATAGGCTAACACGTGTGAAACTTAATTACTCTGTTAAGCACCCAGCATGCAAGCTCCTCAGAACTCTGTATTTGTAGCAGTAATACGTTCAAGTTTAAGAAATGGAAACATCTGCTTTTCCTACATAAAATCTTTAACTTTTGAAGTCCTAAAATTAATCCCACCTGGTGGGGGGCTTCTCTCCTGCCTTACTCTGCAGAAGTTGCACATGATTTTGGATGTGAAGAAGTGTTTAGGGACAACAGGTACAACATAAAACATTAACAGATCGAACAAGTCATTATTTTAAGCATTTTTACCTCCTGTTCTTCTTAGCATTTCCATTCAATTCTCATTCAGTGATCTTTAAGAGATTTCACACACCAGACTACAACTCAAACAGCAGAAATTAACTGCTGCCTTTAAAATCAGAACGTGTTGTGAAATTACCCATTTCTGTAAGCTCCTCGTTTAGCTCCTGAAGCCAAAAGATGTCCATGTCATCCAAGTCATAGCGACACACAGATTCTGCCAGTTCCAAAATGTTGATGTAACCTGGTTCTGTGGGCTCTTGGCTGGAACAGTGGATGTATTTCCTGGGTCGTGTATACAGTACTTCTTTCACCTTTTCTGCTACAACCCTAGAGTGAAAGTTAAAAAAAAAAAAAAAAAAAAAAAAGCTGTAACTCTATTTCTTTAAGACCCATCCCTGAAAGACATGAAATATTTGCTGTAAACGCAAAGAAACCTCGTGTTTCACAGATTTTAAACTCGCCGGTAAGTGTAGCCAGGCTAGGGAGATAGGATTCTGTAAATGTAATTTCTTCACACAAAATGTGCTAAGGTCTGCTACGTATACAGAATCCTTTTTAAAATGTAAAGCCTGTGCATACAATTTTCAATTTAACAAATGCTACTAGTGCGATGATGCAAGTGTTTTTGAAACCCACAGAAAGTATTATGCACAAACACCCCTACAATCTTTGTTCTATATTCTTCATAAATGACAGAAGGAAATCTTGCCAACTGATTTCTTGAAAATACCAGCTTTTTCACGAAAGCTTAATTTATTCTACTGCAGTGTGTTGTGTCGGGGGGGAGAAATGCTTGATCTCCATTTGAGATAAACAGTCTATCCTTATTTTGTAAATGGCACTTTATTCACATTACAAATGTATTATTTTTGTTATGTAAGAACGATTCTGATGCCAAGCAAAAATGTAAAGTGGAAAAAACAGCTAAAAATCATCCAGGGAGCAAGGGAGAAAAATACTGGTGTTTTCAATCTTTCAATTATTTTAAGAGATAAAGCTCCGCGTTTGATTAGTAAACTAGCCTATGGGAATGGAAAGACTGACCTTAGCTAGATAAAGTTAATCTTTCTCTGAATTCAATGCAAGAGGCCCTGCATGTGAAAGGAAGCCAGGGAGATACTGAATGGAACAGTGCCACGCGTGAGCAGCTCTGCATGCTTTCTGGAGCTAACCCTCCACAGGACAAGGAGAAAAGAAAAGCTGTGGGAAATAAGGCCAGAGGAGTAAAGAGGGAGTGGGCAGCCGTCAAGCAGTATCCCATATAATTCTTACTGGACAATGTGGGTTGCCAATGTTAGCACAAACACTGTTCTTCTGCCATTTGTCCTCCCCCCTTCACCTTGCTCATTTTTTCCTCTTGTTCCCTTGTGAGCTTTTGTCTTCTCTGGTCCAGCCAAATCTATAGCAATTTTTTCCTCTAATGTAATACTGCTGGTATGAGATGCAATATATTTATTTTTAATAACTTGGTACTGACAATAACCCCCGTGGAAATTAAATTATGCTGGCATCAGCGCTTTCACTGGACAATTCATTTATCTTCGTCTCAAAGACCACACTGGCAATAACGTTTCTATGTTGAAACACACTCTGTTTCCACCAGGAAGGGTTGCAGGACTAGTGTTATGTTTTCCTAGTCTAAGCACAGTGTGAGAGAACAAAAGGTTATTTATCTATCTCCTGAAATTGAGATCACTGAACTTCTATAACGTTAAGCAGCTATTTATGGTGAGAGGCGGCAGAAAGGGTTAAAGCTTTATCAACAATAACCAAAGTTAAATTATATGAACAAGTGAGTAATTTTATCAGGTATCAATAACCACTGTATGCCTACTGCTCTATATCATCATGCTTTATAGGGAAGCCTTTCAAGTAACGTGTAAAACGTGGGCTTATTTTTAATTTATGAGACTCACCATCCTCAAATGAGAAAACCGTTTTGAATCCACAGCACCATGTCACTCAGGAAAACAGATTCCCTTCCTAAACTCACAATGTAGATGCTATAATAGTGTACAGACAGAACCAGATCTGTACTGAAGTGCCACAGAAATGTTTTTCCAGATTGATACTTGTTTGGTTTAAGAACATGCCTGAAGGATGCTGCATTGGAGATTTAAATATAATACCATAGAAAAGCTGACTGCATTTCGACAACCTATTTCTGAGAGACCATCTTCTCTAAATTGACCTTTTGTGCACGTGATCTGCATCTGATCTTCATTACCTGAGAGAAGGCTGTGGAATAGTTTCTGGACTGGCTGGAACTTGAACCCCTTTCTCCCATTCCTGCTTCCACGTGTCCGCAAAGATATAATATTCATCAGGGTTGACATGGTGAGAATCTGGTAGTTTCATGGCACTAATGAGATCCTTGCGGAACACCTGCAAGAAACACCACGGAAGAGTGGCTTGAGAGTGCTGCACTAAAGGAAGTACTAGTTATTTTTCTTAATCTACACCAAAACAATGCCTATACCTTGACAATTTTTTTTTTAGAGTACCAACACACAAACAAGGCAATTTGGAATTACCTGGATTATTAACTCTCAGTGTCTCAGGTGCAGTATGACAAGAAGTTTACGCTAACTCAAAACCACGCTGCTGCCCAAAGGCTAATCAGAAGGAAGAAGGCTGTTACAGGCGACCAGGGAGAGAGGAAAGGGGGCCAGCATCTGATTTAAGACTCCACATCTTATCACTTCTCAGCTTATTTTACTCGCCAGCCTGTAGGCTTTACCCCAACTTAGATACAAAGTAGCATATCCTTTTCTTTCACTCAGTTTAGCTAATTTAAACTGTCATGCTCATCATGGGCTACGAGCAGTTGTCATGGCGAACCTGATGTATAGGCACTTGCTCATTTATTAAAAACACTTGAAGTTTCACTGGTCGGCATCTCCGGGATCAAAGCTGAGCAGCTGCCTTTGCTGAATGAAACACGAGAGCTGTGCTGCTCTGTGCCTGAACCCCAGCAACGCAGGCACAGAGACACAATCAGGACTCAGCAGCTTTTAGGAAACCTATAGGGTGAGAGATGGCACCATCGTGAAACAAAGCAAACCCGCTGGTGACAGGCCTCCAGCCATAGCATTCACCTCTTGGCTCAAGAAGATTAAGTTTTTATGAGCATGCAAACATGATTATCAGTCATCTCAAAGCTTACTTAATGCCAATGTCTGTCAAATACAGGTGCAAAAAATTTAAGTAAAGGGCATACGCATCCTTTGTGGTGTTTTTTGTTTCTTTTTTTTTTTTTTTTTTTTTTTCTCTGCTGCTACACTGCACCAGTTTAACATTCATACAAGCAAAAGAGTGACTGTGGCTTGGTGTTAGGGAGACATCACATCTAATTAACTGTATTATCGTAACGAGAAATCAAATTCTCAAAGGGCAATAAAATGAAACGGAAAATATCCCTGCAATAAGCTGTGGCAGGTTGAACTCTCTTCTTACTAATTCAGTTTTATAGCCAGAAGAGTAATAAAATATCTCAGAGCCAAGTATCTTCGTGTACCCTTTTCAATTTGACAGCACCAGACCGGTTATGCCTACTGCAAAAATTCTCAGCTGTTCTTGGAAACCATTAAGTAAACATTATTTTAAAAGGCTCTGTGCTGAAAACAGGTATTGAAATAGGCTGCCGGTGACCTGGAACATCAGTGTTACTTCATTATGTCCTACAACCGCATCTCACGTGGGCTGCCGGGAGAGCAAGCTGACCGAGGGGACTCAGAGCCACAGACTCAAGCTTCTCTTACTTGCTACTGATGTGTTATCTGCTTTGGTTCAGACCTGACTGTTCACTGCTGTCTTCTGTGTAAAACTCCTCTGGTACCTAACAGGCCTGTATAAAAATCTCAATGACAAGAGTGGGAGCATTAAGACTGCAAGCATCTATTTTTCCTAAGCAGTACGTGTACACACCAAAAATAAGTGGCATAAATCATTTTACGTTTTAAAAGGCATTTTCAGTTCCTGTCTTACAGGTACAAAACCAGGATTACGAGAAACACTAACATGGCACAATTCCAAAGAACTGCAGAAGGGAAAAATAACCCAGTAAATGAGAAGTGCAATGACTGGTTTAATTATCAGAAAAGACATTCCTCAAACCTTATCTGAGGCGAGTGCTTTACAAACTACCTTTTAAGCCACTGACAGAATATAGAAGCAGAATGCTTCGTATCAAGCTCACTATTTTTTAAACACTAGATGAAAAATGCTATTAAAGGCATCAGTATTCTAACTACATTGCTTAGCAGCAAATTCATCTTCTGATCATCCATTATGTATGTGAACTGTATCATCTCTATTTTTAGAGCACAAATCCCCTGAAGCATGGGCTTTTTTGTTGGGTTTTTTTGACTGTTGTACAGTACTGACCACACCATCACCACACTGCAACGTTCAGTTCTCTGCTTCAGCTTTCTAAAATTCACAATAGAGGTACCACTGAAGGTTAAAGATGTAACCATTGAAACCTTAAGGAAGCCCAAAAGTTGTCCAAGACTTTGTAAGAATTGCTATTCATACTTCTGATAACAGTGTAATTGAGTATTTCCTGCAGATGCTTGGAATGGTTACAATCTCTAGCTCTCATCATTCTTCATTTCTTCACGTCTGGCCAAGCAGAGTCTTCCAACAGCAAAATACTCTCAGAGGACAAGGTATGGGAACACTCACTCTGTATTTCCTTCGTTGTGGAAGTAAACCAAAACACCCAGGGGACCCAAAGAGAATTTTCTGACAAATCAAGTGAGTTTCACTTCAGCAGTCAGCCTCAAGGTTATGAACAATGCCAACTCCAGGAGGAGCAGACACACCTTCAGGATCTAGACAGCCAGCTTTTCCTTGTGGTTGTTTCTTTTTGGACACTTACTTGAAAAACAACACAGCTCCTCTTCCTAGCTGTATCCACAAAGCAACGGCTAGCACTCCACAGCACATACCCTCACTTTGGCAAGCATCACCTTCACTTCGCAGTTAGCCCATGAAGTGCAGCGGTCACCATCCAGTCACCCAAAAGCAGTACTATTGCTTCCCATACCTAAAACACAACCCTTCAACTTTATTTCAGCATCAGCTGTAATATCATACATATTGAGAAAACCTGAAAAATAAGCATGCCAGGTCCAGGCTAATAGGACATTCCCATCCGGACACGTCACTCCTCAAGAGTAGACTCGGCTAGCACTGCGTGGCTTGACCACGGTAGCGAAGGGCCTCGCAGAGCTGAGCTACAACCGACCGCAGCTAGCGGCGCCAGGTCCGGACACAGAGAGATGGGAAACTCCCCCCTGCTGTAAGCATTCATAGAAATTACTGTGTGACGGTAGGATTTTAAAAAAAATAAAAAAAATAAAATCTTTTCAGCAATCGAAAGCATGGAAGAAGAAATGTGTTTCAGCCCTGCTTACCATGCAAAACCGCTTTGGTCTGAACTCACCATTTCATTTTGCTGCCAGGAATTTTTAGTTTCAGCTGGAAAGGGTGTAGCACTTCGAGTGAATGACATCAATGAAAAATGTGTTTGCTTACGTACTACTACTAATAATAATTTTGTTGAGAAACTCTTATAATTATTTCATGCTTTAGAGCTGGAGCTTAAATCTAGAAGATGAGACCTTGTTCTTTGGTCAAGATTTCCTTTCTGCTCTGCAGTAGAAGTCTGCCTGGATTTGCTGAGGCAATGAGAACTTCCTAGTCACCTCTGCAGAGATGCACTGCTGTCTCCAAAGCCTTTAAAAGCTAAATTCTACAAAAATTCTCCAGAAAGAACAGTGCTCTGCTCCCCCCAGCACTAACACACCAAGCAACAACGATATCATGGAGCTGCGGAAGGAAAGATATGGTCCATATGTTTTATTTGTTTTTCTGACTTCTGAGTCCTATTTGGAAATGATGTTAGAAGAATATGTCCAAGGAAAATTAACTTCTTAGAAACCCTTTATAAATGCTTCACCAAAAGCTGTCCGTGACTTTAACCCAAACTCTTTCCGGAAGCACTCTATGAAAATTCAATATATAATCTTCTTCACAGGACCCTCCTGTGCTTTCTGAATAAATCAAGCCTGTGAAACAAAGAATACTATTTTGTGTGAAGTATCCTTATCCACTAAAGATAGCAGGGAGGATACAAGTAATGCTATAGAGAATTACAGTGAAATATTAGCATCGAAGACAGAGTGGGTCTTGACAATACAACAGCCTTCTAACAAACCCCATCTTCGCTGAACAATGTAAACATCGGATCTGCAGACTGTCAGGCACCTTTTGTTCATGACCATTGAAAACCTAAAACCACATTTAAAAAAAAAAAAAAAAAAAAAAAAAAAAAAAAAGCAAAGTCAAGTCAAATACCTGTTCCAATACCCTTCTGCAAGCTACTACTGAAGCTGACTGATGACACTGCTCATTCACCTTGTCTTGCCCAGATGCATGTGTGAGGGAAAACAAATGGATTGCGTCATCTCTTAAGAACTGAAAGAAAACTGACATTTCTTCTTGTGACACTCTCCGAGCTTTCAGGCACCTTGACCACCTGCTTACAAATCCCCAACAAGGGTAAGCCGCTTGTCACAGCCATCTAGGCTACAACTGGGAATCACACCTCAAAGGTTTAAGTAAATTATGGGTTAACTGCTCTGATATTACGATCAAAGTGGGATTTCTGACGGATTGCATCTACCTGCTTCAGTCCTAAGGCTTCCCCTGCACCCTGCAGAGCCTTGGGCGAGTCAGCAACACGTGTTTCCGTTCCTTGTGTCCACAGCTCCAGGATTCAGAAGACCCACTGCTCCAGAAACACGGAGTCATGATTTTTAAAAGGCAGGAGGGAACTCCTGCCCTGCCCTGCCCTGTCCTGTCCCCCTGCAAGAGTATACTCTCAGAAATCTTCTACAGAAGACGGTGTAGAACAAGGGCCACTAACAAGAGAAAGCTGAAACAGTCAGTATTTTCCTGGATTTTTGGTCTCCTTCACAACCTATCTCAAAGGCCAACTCTGAAATTCCAGGTGCCAAACACTCAAACTACAGTGGCCACCCTCTGTAAAGTGTAATGTAAATCACGCAAGAGTTTCTCATCATGTTTGGGGTCAAATAATATTTTTAATTCACCTTTGAAACAACCTAGTAACTTTTTTATTCCCATAAGCATTAAAGCTACTATTGTAGCTCTCAAGTAAAACACCCTCATCCAAATTTGAACACGCTAAATAAAGCAGCAGTTTACACCTAAAATCACCTCGCAAATAATAGAACAAAAGCCAAATTATAATATGACCTATTACAAGTGTAATACAGCCACACAGTATCTGAACAAAGTTTAATCTTTGTATAGATGGTTCAAAGTATGTGCAAAAGACTGCACATTTACTGAGA